AGTGATTCCTATATATTCAAGTAGTGATTCCTATATATACAGGTAGTGATTCCTATATATACAGGTAGTGATTCCTATATAAACAGGTAGTGATTCCTATACAGGAAGCAAGTGATTCCTATATATACAGGTAGTGATTACTATACATACAGGTAGTGATTCCTATATATACAGGTAGTGATTCCTATATATACAGGTAGTGATTCCTATATATAAAGGTAGTGATTCCTATATATATACAGGTAGTGATTCCTATATAAACAGGTAGTGATTCCTATACATAAAGGTAGTGATTCCTATATATACAGGTAGTGATTCCTATATATACAGGTAGTGATTCCTATATAAACAGGTAGTGATTCCTATATATAAAGGTAGTGATTCCTATATATACAGGTAGTGATTCCTATATATAAAAGAAGTGATTCCTATATATACAGGTAGCGATTCCTATATATATACAGGTAGTGATTCCTATATATACCGGTAGTGATTCCTATATATATATATATAGGTAGTGATTCCTATATATACAGGTAGTGATTCCTATATATAAATGTAGTGATTCCTATATATACAGGTAGTCATTCCTATACGTACAGGTAGTGATTCCTATATATACAAGTAGTGATTCCTATATATACAGGTAGTGATTCCTATACAGGAAGCAAGTGATTCCTATATATACAGGTAGTGATTACTATACATACAGGTAGTGATTCCTATATAAACAGGTAGTGATTACTATGTACACATGTAGGTATTGATGCCTCTGTATATACAAGTAGGTGTTTTGATCATCTGTATATACATGTAGGGGTTGATTTTTCTGTATATATATGTAGGTGTTGACTCCTCTGTATATACATGTAGGGGTTGATTTTTCTGTATATATATGTAGGTGTTGATTCTTCTGTATATATACATGTAGGTGTTGATTTCTCTGTAGATATATGTAGGTGTTGATTCCTCTGTATATACATGTAGGTGTTGATTCCTCTGTATATATATGTAGGTGTTGATTCCTCTGTATATATATGTAGGTGTTGACTCCTTTGTATATATATGTAGGTGTTGATTCCTCTGTATTTATATGTAGGTCTTGACTCCTTTGTATATATATGTAGGTGTTGACTCCTCTGTATATATATGTAGGTGTTGACTCCTCTGTATATATATGTAGGTGTTGACTCCGCTTAATTGATTCCTCCCAGTTCTGCTGTTAATTATGTTGTTACCGTTCTGCCCATAGCGCCTATACATTGACTACTGAGTTATTTCAAATTTGTTGATTTTTTTTTACAGAAAGTCGTCTAATTGCATCGGATGTTTTCTTAATATATTTTTCGCCGAAGTAGTTGTCAGTTTATCTTTCAAGTGATCAAGTATGTGTGATATTCCAAAATAGATTAAATTAAAGTAATTAACATATTAATTAACATGTCTTCTAAAATATGCATGATAATCAAAGGCAACGACTATAAATCATGATGTGTACAAAGCGATGTCTGGAGCCGGTACAACACAGGAAATACCTTAATGTACTTTTCACGCTTCATAAGCTATTTAAAAAATTGTTAAAAATCAAGTATCATTAAGTTAGTCACAACTCCGTCTTCTTTTACATAACTCTCTGCCCTGTCAACATCGTTACATGTCAACATGTTATCAAATTAACAAAACAAAGTATCATAGCCATCACATAACACTATGATATCAACCTTCACATTTTACTTCACGGTGTCAAAACCTTCTCATAACACCATGATATCAACCTTCAAATTTTTCTTCACGGTGTCAAAACCTTCACATAACACCATATCAACCTTCAAATTTTACTTCACGGTGTCAAAACCTTCACATAACACCATATCAACCTTCAAATTTTACTTCACGGTGTCAAAACCTTCACATAACACTATATCAACCTTCACGTTTTACTTCACGGTGTCAAAACCTTCACATAACACCTTGTTATCAACCTTTAAATGACACTTCACGGTGTCATAACCGTCACAGATATCCTGCTATCAACCTTTACATGTCACACTGTCACCAATCTTCACATATCGCAGTATCATAATCTTCACATAACACCATGTTATTAGCATTCACATATCGCAGTGTCATAATCTTCACATAACACCATGTTATTAGCCTTCACATATCGCAGTGTCATAATCTTCACATAACACCATGTTATTAGCCCTCACATATCGCAGTGTCATAATCTTCACATAACACCATGTTATTAGCCTTCACATATCGCATTATCATAACCTCAATATAACACCATGGTATCAACCTTTATATGACACTTCACGGTGTCATAACCTGCACATAACACCTTGTTATCAACCTTCACATGACGTTACGAGATCAACCAAATGTTCAATAGACCATAGCGGTTTACCGTGCCTCGAACACAATGCTGAGGACGGCAGACAATGGCTTCAGGAGTCAAATATAGAAGCCATCGTCAAAGCAGAATGATATTCAGCAAACCATTGCTGATTTAACGAGAAAACGGAATCCTACGGAGGTACTTTCGGTACAGTTCATGGGATAACTTGTTCAACTCTCAGGAAATTGTTGACAGCGAAACCATTTCTTTGTAAAGTTGCCAGATCTGAAGAAAGAATTCGTTGTGCGCATAGAGGGCTGTTCTTTAAGAAGACGGTGCCAGTGATTTACACTAGACTAAAACTTTTACTGTCAAGAAGGATTGCCTGGCAACTGTGTGGAAAGTGCCGTACATCTACGGATGATGTTTTCCCTAGAAACACTTCAATTACCCCTAACCTACTCATACCGATCCAAGGTTGCAAACACATGATTTATGTGATGATGTTTTTTCTATAACCCCGCAGACTCCGAATTCGTGCCTTTAAGGGTGAGAACAATATTAAAGCAGATTTCCGCTGTAGCATAGGACTGATTGAGGAACCACTTTCATAGGAAATGGAGGATGACGTCACGAACTCACGTGTTCTTACCGTATCAATACGAGAGAATAGGTCACGTGTGTGTATACACGTAAGCGGATAGGGTAGTGTTCAACCGGTCAGATGAGAATGGCGGTCGTTGTTTATCATTACCTGTTGTGCATGTTTTATGGCCAAAATTTGATACGGAATGGAGCCCAGTTATCTGACTTGGCTTCAGAAGAGGGACAGATAACTCGGGGCACACTACCTCAAGGTAGCAAGCCGTGACTGACAGGTCTTCATCGAGGCAGCGTCAAGACCGACCACCATTTGTAAGTAGGTAATGGGGGTCAAGGCCAGATGTTGATAAGGAGTGTCACGCATTCATCCCGTCTATCTGTGAAGAGACTGTAGGGTTTACCAATTAAAATTAGTGTATGAATGAAAGAGAGTGCAAAAGCGAGTGTGAATGTGTCTATATATAATTATACTTTATGGTACTATAAATAGCGACACATGACGTCACCAATATCATCAACACATGTAATTACTAATACCGTCAACACATGGCATAGGCTATACCATCAGCTCATGACGTCACCAATGCCATCAACCCATGGCATTATCGATACCATGATCACCTGTCATGACCAATACCGTCAACACATGGCATAGGCTATACCATCAGCACATAACATCATAAATACCATACACATATGGCACAACCAACACCATCAACAAAGCTTTACCAATATGATCAACACATGTCATCACCTATACCAACACATCACCCCTAATTAAACATATGATATGTAACAGACAGGCGTGACTCGATCAAAATATAGCATTGTGTCATGGGAAGGTGTAACAGACGGACATGGCTCGATCAGTGTTCAGAATTACGTCTGAGGAAGGTGTAACAGACGAACATGACTCGATCAGTGTTTAGAATTACGTCTGAGGAAGGTGTAACAGACGGACATGGCTCGATCAGTGTTCAGAATTACGCCTGAGGAAGGTGTAACAGACGAACATGACTCGATCAGTGTTTAGAATTACGTCTGAGGAAGGTGTAACAAACGAACATGACTCGATCAGTGTTTAGAATTACGTCTGAGGAAGGTGTAACAGACGGACATGGCTCGATCAGTGTTTAGAATTACGTCTGAGGAAGGTGTAACAAACGAACATGACTCGATCAGTGTTTAGAATTACGTCTGAGGAAGGTGTAACAGACGGACATGGCTCGATCAGTGTTTAGAATTACGTCTGAGGAAGGTGTAACAGACGGACATGGCTCGATCAGTGTTCAGAATTACGTCTGAGGAAGGTGTAACAGACGAACATGACTCGATCAGTGTTTAGAATTACGTCTGAGGAAGGTATAACAGACGGACATGGCTCGATCAGTGTTCAGAATTACGTCTGAGGAAGGTGTAACAGACGAACATGACTCGATCAGTGTTTAGAATTACGTCTGAGGAAGGTGTAACAAACGAACATGACTCGATCAGTGTTTAGAGTTAAGTCTGAGGAAGGTGTAACATACGGACATGGCTCGATCAGTGTTTAGAATTACGTCTGAGGAAGGTGTAACAGACGGACATGACTCGAACAGTGTTTAGAATTACGTCTGAAGAAGGTGTAACAGACGAACATGACTCGATCAGTGTTTAGAGTTAAGTCTGAGGAAGGTGTAACATACGGACATGACTCGATCAGTGTTTAGAGTTAAGTCTGAGGAAGGTGTAACATACGGACATGGCTCGATCAGTGTTTAGAATTACGTCTGAGGAAGGTGTAACAGACGGACATGACTCGAACAGTGTTTAGAATTACGTCTGAAGAAGGTGTAACAGACGAACATGACTCGATCAGTGTTTAGAGTTAAGTCTGAGGAAGGTGTAACATACGGACATGACTCGATCAGTGTTTAGAATTACGTCTGAGGAAGGTGTAACAGACGAACATGACGCGATCAGTGTTTAGAATTACGTCTGAGGAAGGTGTAACAGACGAACATGACTCGATCAGTGTTTAGAATTAAGTCTGAGGAAGGTGTAACAGACGAACATGACTCGATCAATGTTTAGAATTACGTCTGAGGAAGGTGTAAGCTCAGTAACCATCTGACTTATCTTCCGGACGCTGTAATTAATATCGATTAACAATTGTCTCTCTCCCTAATTGATGATTATCGTTAATCGATGCGTGCAGTAATGGACGGAACCCGGCTGATATTTAACATGGCTTGGTTACCCTACACAATGCCAGTCCCGCCCCCTCCACCTCCGTCCGGCTGACCAGTAACATTACGTGTTACACAATACGCAGCACGCCCTATCTAAATGAAACTTTTAATGGCATACTTCGCAGGTAAGACGAGTGTAAATTGGGTCAAAGTTGACAGAGTCAAGCATTATGGGATGTAGTACCAGCACAACAAACATGGAAGGGACGAAGGCTCCGCTGTCCTCTGTCGACAAAACACTCATCAAGCAATCTTGGACACAGTTCACGAATGCAGGCAGTCTTGCCGACTTAGGGTTACCAATGTTTGTCAAGTAAGCAATTAAATATTGTTGAAGTAGTTTAAATAGCATGAATTCGTAATTACATTGTGTTCACCTTGTTCCGACTGTTATATATGTTTATATATTATATTTCATATCCTATATATATATATATATTATGTTTATCAAATTAATTACCTATCATTTTAATTGGTTATCAATCTGTTTCGACATTAAAGATGTTTATTGAAAGTTAATGTGAACAGTGATAAAGTTGTATGTTAAAGGTGATAAAGCTGTATGTTTACAGTGATAAAGCTGTATGATCGCGGCGATAACGCTGTATGTTAACGGTGATAAAGTTGATATTAACGGTGATAAAGTTGATATTAACGGTGATAAAACTGTATGATAACAGTGATAAAACTGTATGTTATCTGTTAACGGTGATAAAACTGTATGTTAACAGTGATAAAGTTGATGTTAACGGTGATAAAACTGTATGTTAACAGTAATAAAGTTGATGTTAACGGTGATAAAACTGTATGTTAACAGTGATAAAACTGTATGTTAACAGTGATAAAATTGATGTTAACGGTGATAAAACTGTATGTTAACAGTGATAAAGTTGATGTTAACGGTGATAAAACTGTATGTTAACAGTGATAAAGTTGATGTTAACGGTGATAAAACTGTATGTTAACAGTGATAAAACTGTATGTTAACAGTGATAAAATTGATGTTAACGGTGATAAAACTGTATGTTAACAGTGATAAAGTTGATGTTAACGGTGATAAAACTGTATGTTAACAGTGATAAAGTTGATGTTAACGGTGATAAAACTGTATGTTAACAGTGATAAAACTGTATGTTAACAGTGATAAAATTGATGTTAACGGTGATAAAACTGAATGTTAACAGTGATAAAGCTTTATGTTAACGGTGATAAAGTTGATGTTAACGGTGATAAAACTGTATGTTAACAGTGATAAAGTTGATGTTAACGGTGATAAAACTGTATGTTAACAGTGATAAAACTGTATGTTAACAGTGATAAAACTGTATGTTAACAGTGATAAAACTGTATGTTAACAGTGATAAAACTGTATGTTAACAGTGATAAAATTGATGTTAACGGTGATAAAACTGAATGTTAACAGTGATAAAGCTTTATGTTAACGGTGATAAAGTTGATGTTAACGGTGATAAAACTGTATTTTAACAATGATAAAGCTTTATGTTAACGGTGATAAAGCTGTGTTTACAGTGATGAAGCTTTATGTTAACGGTGATAAAACTGTATGTTAACGGTGATAAAACTGTATGTGAACAGTGATAAAGCTTTATGTTAACGGTAATCAAGCTGTATGTTAACGGTGATAAAACTGTATGATTAGGGCGGCGATGAAGCTGCATGGTGGCATTGATAAAGCTAATTGGTGGTGGTGGTAGGTTTGTATGGTCGCAGATATAAGCTTGTATGGAGACGGTGATAAAGCTATATGGTCTCTGATTTGAACTTGTATGGTCGTGGTGATAGAGCTGCATATTCGCGATGAAATAGCTGTATGGTCGCGGTGATGAAGCTGTATGGTCGCGGTGATGAAGCTGTATGGTCGCGATGATAAAGCTGTATGTTCGCTTTGATAAAGATGTATGCTTGTTGTGATAAAGCTGTATGGTCGCGGTGATGAAGCTGTATGGTCGCGGTGATAAAGCTGTATGTTTGCTTTGATAAAGATGTATGCTTGCTGTGATAAAGCTGTATGTTTGCTTTGATAAAGATGTATGCTTGCTGTGATGAAGCTGTATGGTCGCGGTGATAAAGCTGTATGTTTGCTTTGATAAAGATGTATGCTTGCTGTGATAAAGCTGTATGTTTGCTTTGATAAAGATGTATGCTTGCTGTGATGAAGCTGTATGGTCGCGGTGATAAAGCTGTATGTTTGCTTTGATAAAGATGTATGCTTGCTGTGATAAAGCTGTATGGTCGCGGTGATAAAACTGTATGGTCGCGGTGATAAAGCTGTATGTTCGCTTTGATAAAGATGTATGCTTGTTGTGATAAAGCTGTATGGTCGCGGTGATGAAGCTGTATGGTCGCGGTGATAAAGCTGTATGTTTGCTTTGATAAAGATGTATGCTTGCTGTGATAAAGCTGTATGTTTGCTTTGATAAAGATGTATGCTTGCTGTGATGAAGCTGTATGGTCGCGGTGATAAAGCTGTATGTTTGCTTTGATAAAGATGTATGCTTGCTGTGATAAAGCTGTATGGCCGCGGTGATAATGCTGTATGGTCGCGGTGTTAAAGCTGTATGGTCGCGGTGATAAAGCCGTATGGTCGCGGTGATGAAGCTGTATGGTCGCGGTGTTAAAGCTGTATGAGCGCGGTTATAAATATGTATTATCACGGTTAAAGAGCTGTATGGTGGTGTCGATAAAACTGTGTTTGTAGCGACAAACCGGAACATTCGCCATGATGAACCGGAACAATTGTGCGATAATATACCCTCGCCGTAATGATTTGTTCACATGCTGAGGTGATACATATGTATAGACTAGTAAAGAATGATGATAACGCATATTTACAACCATGTGTATCTCGAGTAGAGAACGAGGTCCGGCCAGATGTGAAACTCGGACATTCATTAAGTACAACTCATATGGAAAGCATCCCAAATGTATATATCGAGTAGAGAGCGAGAGCAAGCCATGTGTACAACGCGGGTAGGGTGCATGTCACAGGTGTATCTCGAGTAGAGAACGACGGCAAATAATTTGTACAACCAGGTAGAGAACGACGAGACACACTACGAGTACAATTAAGTAAAGGATGAAGGCATGCCAAGTAAACGTATTAGACATCCACTTAGGTGGAGGTTTACATCGCTATACTAACCTGGGCTGTGCAACGTCTTCAAAGCTATGCCTATCGATGCTGAGGTTCGATTTCCGAATTACCTATTTTTTAAAAGCAGCTCGTTTGGTCGTGCCGCGGTTGGATTACTGGTTAACGCATACTGCTCACAGTGAGTTCGAATCCCAGCAAGCACGTCTTATTGATTTTTATATTTGTATTAAGGATATTCAATCTGAAATTTGACTGGTTATTTCTTCTGACTAAACCTTGGACAAAGTTTTCACTTACAGTCTTAAAATATGACAAAGATAGAAATGGGTTACTATTAGAACAGTATTTTAGTCAGTATTAGAGTGCGAAAACTAAGACATTTTCGTAATTCGAAACTTTTCTGTAATGTTCCGGATACCGGAAATAGTGGGTGCCTGCTGGGATGCATGTACAGGTTCATTATTTTGCATGGTCACTATTAGGATATGGAAATCAATGTCGAATTATGACTCAACAAAACCACTTCCGGGTCATCTGTGATTTCAGAATTCTCTGGATTCACTGTCAATGTTCATTAACAATTGTAACAAATTGGATATTATGACAAATGGAAAATTGCTATTTATTTATTTTATGTATTTTTAATCAGGACAAATAAAAATTGGTTATTGTTTATCTCATATACATAACCTGATTGTCACCCCCGAAAGCAGGTTGATAACCAAATACTAACCCGTGCACGTGCTCTGAACTGGCTGGTACTTGAATACTAACCTGTGCTCGTGCGCTCCAGCCGGGTAATACAAAACAAGGGAACCATGCGGTAATGCCTAGTTAAAAACGAGGCTGTAAATAAGGCCACGTCAGTACTCAAGTAGAGCAGACAGGAAGGCATGTCACGTGCAGAACTAAAAAACCAACAAGGGTTCTGTCATTTTTTTTACAAACCAGGTGGAGAGCAAGGCGGTATCACGTGCACAAGCATTTGACACTACATGTTTCTCCGTCTTTTTCGCTTTATATACAGAATAATTGAGGCGCCATTTTTCAACAATGTAAACAAAAGTCTGATTTGTGAGTTTGCTTGATCGTAGTATCATTTAACACTCGTGGATCAATAGACGTACTTTTTTGCAAGGCTAGGCAAAAATCCTATATCATGAAGCAAGTTTTTATGGAATGTCACGGGTCCGATACGGGTCCTCTATCGTTACAACTTCGACGGAATTGAGAGGCCGTGCTACATTGTAGCCATAACTAATCATGGGATTGTAAATATCTATCATGAACAAATATATACACGACTTTTGTGTGTTTCACATTGTTGTTTATATTAGAAAGCGTGCTCTTTGCTAGTTCTATGATGTATTTACTGTGTGTATATTTAGGTAAGTATGTAAACAGTGGAGTGGCTAACACTACAGAATTGACAGGATTTTATTGACTTTCATTCTTTATGACCACGTCCAACACCCACTAGCCGTAGCGTAGTAGTCGGGATCTACTGCCGTCCTAGTCGTTAATTCAGGAGCCAATTCCAAGTGAAATAATGAAGGGAAGCATTTCTTATTCTTCTGTCGCCATTCCAGACCGATAGACTCAAGTTGTACAAAATATGTTGTCTGTCCGCCTTAGTAGCCGTATACATTTTGCCAATACAGATTTGATGTCTGTCCGATCAGTCGTATGAATTTATTCTTTCTGCACAACAAATTGTCGAATGTTTATTTCCCGTATCGATTCGATGTCTTTCAGATCAGTCATAGGAATTTATTTCTTCTGCACAACTAAAAGTTGTTTGCATTTTGCCACTACAATTTTGTTGTCTGTCCGATCAGTCGTATGAATTCAGTATATTGTCACTACAGATTTGACGTCTGTTCTATCAGTCGTATGAATTTTGTTCGTCTGTCCAACTAAATGTCGAATATATATTGCCAGTATATATATTTGCTGTCTGTCCGATCAATCGTACAACTGTATGAATATATCATGTCTGCATAACTTACTGTCGTAAGCATATTGCCACTACAGATTGTATGTCTGTCCGATAAGTCGTATGTATTAATTACGTCTGCACAACTAATAGTCGCATGTATATTGCCACTACAGATTTGATGTCTGTCCTATTACCCGTATGTATTTAGTCCGTCTGTCCAACTAATTTTCAAATGCATTTGGCCTGTACATATATACGTTTGTTCAGCTACTATTTTTTGTCATTTTATTTGTGACGTCTGTCCAATCAGTCGTATATGTACGGATGTGACGTCTGTCTGATCCGTCGTATTTTGTCAGTACCTATGTGACAAATATCCAATATATTGGAGTATCGTCACTCCCTCGTTTGTGTTTAAGTGAACTGCTGTCATCACTTTACTACTGATTGATTTAACACATTAAGTAACGACTCTGAAACGTACCTAGCACAACTTTGCGCCATAAATTAAACTTTGAGATATTTATTGTGGCCTGTGCTTCGTCAGTCTAAAAGGTATGGCGCACTTGGGTCTGATTTGACCATATCAAAGCTAACATTTAAGTTTGAAACACTTTTCTTTTTCGCCTTACTTAGACGTAAACTGGATTGCAAATGTTCAATACCATCTGAACAGAGATGATAATTGTTTCGTACATGTAAGGTGAAAGCACGAGAACTGGAGTAAAGGGTTATCCTCGTTTTATTTATTATTGAACACACAACATTTACACGATGATGGGTTTAGATCGTTGCAATGCATTAATATTGAAAACCAGAGTAGAAAAGAAGAAAACATATTTTCGAGAGAAAAATGTTTTTATGGACTTGTTTTCTAGTTTTAGTATCATTGCTGATATTCCGTCTTTTGTAAAATTTAAAGTTAAACGTGTTCGATGTTCGTAAGTAAGACTAATGGTGTGTTGTGTTATATATAGTAACACGTTTACGATGTTCGTAAGTAAGAATGGTAGTTTGTTGTGTTATATATAGTAACACGTGTACGATGTTCGTAAGTAAGACTGATGGTTTGTTGTGTTATATATAGTAACACGTGTACGATGTTCGTAAGTAAGACTGATGGTTTGTTGTGTTATATATAGTAACACGTGTACGATGTTCGTAAGTAAGACTGATGGTTTGTTGTGTTATATATAGTAACGCGTGTTCGATGTTCGTAAGTAAGACTGATGGTTTGTTGTGTTATATATAGTAACATGTGTTCGATGTTCGTAAGTAAGACTGATGGTTTGTTGTGTTATATATAGTAACACGTGTACGATGTTCGCAAGTAAGACTGATGGTTTGTTGTTTTATATATAGTAACACGTGTTCGATGTTCGTAAGTAAGACTGATGGTTTGTTGTGTTATATATAGTAACACGTGTACGATGTTCGTAAGTAAGACTGATGGTTTGTTGTGTTATATATAGTAACACGTGTACGATGTTCGTAAGTAAGACTGATGGTTTGTTGTGTTATATATAGTAACGCGTGTTCGATGTTCGTAAGTAAGACTGATGGTTTGTTGTGTTATATATAGTAACATGTGTTCGATGTTCGTAAGTAAGACTGATGGTTTGTTGTGTTATATATAGTAACACGTGTACGATGTTCGCAAGTAAGACTGATGGTTTGTTGTTTTATATATAGTAACACGTGTTCGATGTTCGTAAGTAAGACTGATGGTTTGTTGTGTTATATATAGTAACACGTGTACGATGTTCGTAAGTAAGACTGATGATATTTTTTATTATGTTTGAATAGTGAGTATTTTATGTTACTTAAAAGCTTTGCATCATGTTGTGGTCATTACGAAACAACAGCGCCTCTATAATACATTATCATTTCACAGGTTGTTCACAGACTACCCCGATGTTAAGACGATATTCTCGTTCATGAAAGAGGGAGGCGAATCCCTTGAGAGCGAGGCAGTGCGGAACCATGCTGAGGGGGTGATGGGTGTGGTGGACTCGGCCGTAGGGGCTATCGACAATCTAGATGGCCTGGCTCCGACTGTTCGGAGTTTAGGGGCCAAACACTACACGTACGGAGCCCAAGTTGCACATTTAGGGGTAAGTGATGTCAGACAGTACATGTTTTTTTTTTCAGAAAAACTCCATAAAAGTATTAATGTCATGCCTATTTTACAAGTGTTTTTGAGAATACATTGCCTTATTGGATCACATCCGGTTTCGAAGTACAGACATGTTGACTTTTGTCCAGATCCGGTTTCGAAGTATAGACATGTTGACTTTTGTCCACATCCAGTTTCGAAGTACAGACATGTTGACATTTGTCCACTTCCAGTTTCGAAGTACAGACATGTTGACTTTTGTCTACATCCGGTTTCGAAGTACGGACATGTTGACTTTTGTCCAAATCCGGTTTCGAAGTACAGACATGTTGACTTTTGTCCACATCCGGTTTCAAAGTACAGACATGTTGACTTTTGTCCACATCCGGTTTCGAAGTACAGACATGTTGACTTTTGTCCACATCCGGTTTCGAAATACAGACTTGGTGACTTTTCATCTATATCCGGTTTCGGAATACTAACTTTTGTCTACATTTTTCTCGACATGGAAATATTCAACAATATTACACATCCATGAGTTACAAATAGGATTTGAAAACAAAAAAAATGGTTTAGATGTAACTATACATTGCATTTTTGTTCTTGACATAAAACTGAGCTTGTCCACACTTTGCCTTGGACTTGATTCCAACCATTGTGCTTTCGTCTCCACAGCCCGTTGGCGAGTGTTTGCTGTACGCCATGGAGAAGGAGTTGAAGGAGGAGTTTACGAAGGACATCAAGACGGCTTGGGTGAAGCTGTATGGTGTCATCAGTGCTGCTTTCCAGGAAGGGTTAGAGGAAGAAGGGCGTAAACAGGGATGATAACAGTGATACCTGTTAGAGTTACTTAACCCTAAGCCGTGGCTGTGAGTCGTGTGACTGTGTAGGGCCGTGTGACACCTAAGGACTGTCTGTCTATTGTCTATTTTATTGTAACCGTTAGTAAATCGTCAGTGATGTGTGGTAGAACCTTTAGTCTGTGATATATTCATTGACCATCTGTCATTGTTCAATTGTACTAAATTTATATCTTACCTTTTTTACACGACATAAACATGTATTCATGTTCGTTGTCTAAGGATATTGTTAATAAACTAAAACCCTATGTAAACATTTTGCTTCATTTGTAAATAATAACATCCTTTTATCACATGTTTCTGGATTCAACAAACCCTCACTCAACAGCATTCGTTTGTTGAACATACATTTCAATCAGACTGTTGACATTTCACACTGGAACGCGATGGTGTGGAGTACAAGTCCTCTACTGCAAAGAGGACACCAACCTACCTCAATGAAGACTGCAGGCAGCGGTTGCCCGAAGGTTATTTCAAGGTAACCATTGGTTGGTGTTGTTATTTTAGATAAAAAGAGTATAATTAATACTAAAAGAATATTTCCGATTCATATTTAAAAAATCCTAACCATGATTATCACTAATCAGCCTTTCAACCACCAAGACAAGAGATCGCAGAGGGATGTTGGCGCCCGCCATTGTTTGTTCTTTGAACGTTGGATTTTTTTCCTTCGCTACTCTGTTTTTATTCATGATTAGAAATTTTAACATTAATCCTTTGCAGAAATAGCGATAACTGAAGCTGTAGCTAGGGTACTCGACTAATACACCCGCTCCTCAATCAACAACCGCTTTGGAGGGGTTGTCCCAACATTTCTCCAAGAGGTCTTCGTTTCGTCACCATGGCAACCAAATGGAAACTTTTTCGAAAAAAATGTTTTATTGTATTTGTCATCCATCTGATTCTTTTTATACTAATTTTCAACTTAATTAGATAATATCTCAATTTCGCCCAATCAGAAACATTCAAATTGTTTCCGTGATAACGGTTTTGGAACACCTAATATCTCAAATTATATGCTATGATTAGCTATAGCATTTGATCAAGTTTAAATGATATGTGAAAGGCGACAACTATATATACATTTGACACAATATTCAAAACATGATATCTACAAGAAGGGGCATAACTCTAAGAAATGTTGTCGAAATTTCACGAAAAGCGAAAGGGCACAATCATATATCGTAAGTACTTTATTAGATCTACTTGGCATAATATTCCGGACAGACAGACGGTCAGACAGGATGAATTCTATAAACTTCCGAACCTCGTTGCAAGATTTATGATAATCTTTAACTGCCGAATCCAAGATGGTCAGCTGGAAGCCTTTTTGTTCTTTTCTGATCAGTCCCAAAATCAAACCGAAACTATTAGGGACCAAGAGATACCTACATATGAAATTTGAGAGAGGTTGATCAAGTACTTCTCAAGAAAAAGTAATAACAAACTTCATCTAAAAAACAACAAGATGGCCACCTGTTCGCCAAGTTGTCTTTCTGATCAACCATTAAAAAAGTACACAGGCACAACTAGTGATCAATGGGAAATTTGAGAAAGATCCATCCAGTACTTCTCAAAATATTGTGATAACAAATAGGTCGTAGGTCGATTTGAATAGTCCACCATCTGATAATGTAAACAGCTGGTGTCCTCTACCACAAAGACAACCAGCAACCTTAATGTAGACAGCTGGTGTCCTCTACCATAAAGACAGCCAGCAACCTTAATGTAGACAGCTGATGTCCTCTACCACAAAGGCAACCAACCTCAATGTAGACAGCTGGTGTCCTTTACCACAAAGGCAACCAACCTCAAAGTAGACAGCTGGTGTTCTCTACCACAAAGACAACCACCCTCAATGTAGACAGCTGGTGTCCATTACCACAAAGATACCCTACAACCTCAATGTAGACAGCTGGTGTCTTCTACCACAAAGGCAACCAACAACCTCAATGTAGACAACTGGTGTCCTCTACCACAAAGACAACCAGCAACCGTAATGTAGACAGCTGGTGCTCTCTACTACAAAGATACCCTACAACCTCAATGTCGACAGCTGGTGTCCTCTAACACAAAGGCAACCAACAATCTTAATGTAAACAGCTGGTGCCCTCTGCCACAAAGATAACCATCAAACTCAATGTATACAGCTGGTGTCCTCTACTACAAAGATACCACACAACCTCAATGTAGACAGCTGGTGTTCTCTACCACAAAGACAAACAACAACCTCAATGCAGACAGCTGGTGCTCTCTACCACAAAGGCAACCAGAAACCTTAATGTAAACAGGTGGTGTCCTCTACCACAAAGATAACCATCAAAATCAATGTAGACATCTGGTGTCCTCTACCACAAAGATACCCTACAACCTCAATGTCGACAGCTGGTGTCCTCTAACACAAAGGCAACCAACAATCTTAATGTAAACAGCTGGTGCCCTCTGCCACAAAGATAACCATCAAACTCAATGTATACAGCTGGTGTCCTCTACTACAAAGATACCACACAACCTCAATGTAGACAGCTGGTGTTCTCTACCACAAAGACAAACAATAACCTCAATGCAGACAGCTGGTGCTCTCTACCACAAAGGCAACCAGAAACCTTAATGTAAACAGGTTGTGTCCTCTACCACAAAGATAACCATCAAAATCAATGTAGACATCTGGTGTCCTCTACCACAAAGATACCCTACAACCTCAATGTAGACAGCTGGTGTCCTCTACCATAAAGACAACCAGCAACCTTAATGTAGACAGCTGGTGTCCTCTACCACAAAGGCAACCAACCTCAATGTAGACAGCTGGTGTCCTTTACCACAAAGGCAACCAACCTCAAAGTAGACAGCTGGTGTCCTCTACCACAAAGACAACCACCCTCAATGTAGACAGCTGGTGTCCATTACCACAAAGATACCCTACAACCTCAATGTAGACAGCTGGTGTCCTCTACCACAAAGGCAACCAACAACCTCAATGTAGACAGCTGGTGTCCTCTACCACAAAGACAACCAGCAACCGTAATGTAGACAGCTGGTGCTCTCTACTACAAAGATACCCTACAACCTCAATGTCGACAGCTGGTGTCATCTAACACAAAGGCAACCAACAATCTTAATGTTAACAGCTGGTGCCCTCTGCCACAAAGATAACCATCAAACTCAATGTATACAGCTGGTGTCCTCTACTACAAAGATACCACACAACCTCAATGTAGACAGCTGGTGTTCTCTACCACAAAGACAAACAACAACCTCAATGCAGATAGCTGGTGCTCTCTACCACAAAGGCAACCAGAAACCTTAATGTAAACAGGTGGTGTCCTCTACCACAAAGATAACCATCAAAATCAATGTAGACATCTGGTGTCCTCTACCACAAAGATACCCTACAACCTCAATGTCGACAGCTGGTGTCCTCTAACACAAAGGCAACCAACAATCTTAATGTTAACAGCTGGTGCCCTCTGCCACAAAGATAACCATCAAACTCAATGTATACAGCTGGTGTCCTCTACTACAAAGATACCACACAACCTCAATGCAGACAGCTGGTGCTCTCTACCACAAAGGCAACCAGAAACCTTAATGTAAACAGGTGGTGTCCTCTACCACAAAGATAACCATCAAAATCAATGTAGACATCTGGTGTCCTCTACCACAAAGATACCCTACAACCTCAATGTCGACAGCTGGTGTCCTCTACCACAAAGATACCCTACAACATCAATGAAGACAACTGGTGCTCTCTACCACAAAGATACCCTACAACCTCAATGTCGACAGCTGGTGTCCTCTACCACAAAGACAACCAGCAACCGTAATGTAGACAGCTGGTGCTCTCTACTACAGAGATACCCTACAACCTCAATGTCGACAGCTGGTGTCCTCTACCACAAAGACAACCAGCAACCGTAATGTAGACAGCTGGTGCTCTCTACTACAAAGATACCCTACAACCTCAATGTCGACAGCTGGTGTCCTCTACCACAAAGGCAACCAGCAACCTCAATGTAGACAGCTGGTGTCCTCCACCACAAAGATACCCTACAACCTCAATGTCGACAGCTGGTGTCCTCTACCACAAAGGCAACCAACAACCTCAATGTAGACAGCTGGTGTCCTCCACCACAAAGATAACCATCAAACTCAATGTAAACAGCTGGTGTCCGCTACTACAAAGATACCATACAACCTCAATGTAGACAGCTGGTGTTCTCTACCACAAAGACAACCAACAACCTCAATGCAGACAGCTGGTGCTCTCTACCACAAAGACAACCAGAAACCTTAATGTAAACAGGTGGTGTCCTCTACTACAAAGATAACCATCAAAATCAATGTAGATAGCTGGTGCCCTCTACCACAATGATACCCTACAACCTCAATGTAGACAGCTGGTGCCTTCTATCGCAACGACAACCAAAAACCTTAATGAAGACGGTAATGTCAGTTGAAAGACAAGTCGGTGACTCTAAGAATGGTATAGAGATGTTCTTTATTATGGTAAAATCATGTTTACAAGAATACGGAGTCTGACAGGCAGAAAGACTTGTGTATGGCACCGTAAAAACATTTTAATACAAATTCTGTTTTGGTCTGACTAGATTAAGAAATTACTTTATATATTTCACAGTACTGAATCTACCCACCGGCCACTTATTACAGATTAAATGTCTGTTAAGGTTACAAATTCAAATATAGAGTTTGTTAAAAAATAACAAAACGGATTTACTGTTATGTGCAAGTTACAACTTAATAACGCACCCTCTCATATAAGACAATATACAACAAACACGATAACAATACACGCAGGTTCCCGCCTAAATACACAGAATGAATGCTAACAGGGAAAAAAAACAAAGAAAAGAAAGAAAAAGAAACAGATAGGTAGGAACTGATTCAAGAATGGAGAGCCCGGGATGTATCGGACTATATAGTAAAGAGAGTCGGTTTTCCACTTAAGGTTTTAACATTATGGCTAGACACGTACTGGGGAGTAGGGTCAGATTGTGTGTTACACTGCGCATGTGCACTGGAAGTACTGGGGAGTTAATGTCAATTGATAATTTTCGGAAAATCAGTGAAGTACTGGATAACCATCATGGAAAACGGACAGATTTGTGTGGATGAAATACAGTCTCAATCACTCAGCTGATGGAACATCCTTCTTTGGATCAGTTGGTAGGGTACCACGTCAGAGACCTGGGTTTGATTCCAGTTACAACACTCAAAAGGAATGTGTTTTACCTGTTCTTGTACAATCATAAAATATCTGATCAGTGCTGGACAATAAGGTCAGAAAAGTCGAATTAATGCACGCCCTAAAATAAACAGTTCTAACACTGCCGAATACAGCAAAAATAGAGCAGGCTATGTGTATTCCGGCAATGACAACACCAGATGTAGGAGAAAATAAGGTCCGAAAAATACCTGACTGTAAGGTCCGAAAAATACCTGACTGTAAGGTCAGAAAAGTGCGGTACAATAAGGTCAGAAAAGGGCCGTACAATAAGGTCAGAAAAGTGCGGTACAATAAGGTCAGAAAAGTGCCGTACAATAAGGTCAGAAAAGTGCCGTACAATAAGGTCAGAAAAGTGCGGTACAATAAGGTCAGAAAAGTGCGGTACAATAAGGTCAGAAAAGGGCCGTACAATAGGGTCAGAAAAGTGCGGTACAATAAGGTCAGAAAAGTGCGGTACAATAAGGTCAGAAAAGTGCCGTACAATAGGGTCAGAAAAGTGCGATACAATAAGGTCAGAAAAGTGCCGTACAATAGGGTCAGAAAAGTGCGGTACAATAAGATCAGAAAAGTGCGGTACAATAAGGTCAGAAAAGTGCCGTACAATAGGGTCAGAAAAGTGACGTACAATAAGGTCAGAAAATGCCGGACGATAATATTAGGAACAAGTCAGAAAAGTGCCGATCTATATTTTGAAAAGGTCGGAGAAGAATCGACCAAGACAACATTTAATGCTAAAGAAGACAAAAACATCATCAGAAACCATTGGTTCCCCCACAACATACAAATCTGTCATGTTTCTTTTTGAGATATTATACTCGTCCCAGCGGACGACACAATCAACATAGCGTTGAGTCGTTCAATGATCCAAAGGGACGTAACTCTGGTAGATCAAGTAAGCATACGGATGAAAAATACACAGAATGGCAAATGTACATGGTTCAGTCGAAGAGAATATATGTCTTTCGGGGTTGTGTGGATTTCTGTTTTGTGTAATCAAATCGTTTAAACGATTATATAAAACTGTTTTAAATTTATCACATGTGTTAATTGTATGGTAATTCTTACCATATGGTTATTAAACAATATAAACTATACAGAAAATACAAAAACAAAAACAATAAAAATCGCATCAATACGAAATATTCGATAATGGCACATAATAATGTATGGAAACAACATACATTTAAATTAGGCGGAGAGAAAATGTGAAAGATAGTCTACCCTTTGAGGTATAATTACAACATATTGTTTATCGTACACAAGCGTCAATGATTCCGCATCAACATTTTGTTGTCCTTGTATTACAAATATCACAGAATTGTAACGTTTTATTCTAATACTTATTCCAACTGACGTTTAAAACAGCATGAAGATCAAACATAACACCTTAAGATAAAACCACTCACGGGATTCCCGTTATATTATATTAGTGGATAATTTCATTATCAAAACAATTCTCCTTATGCCGTAAGATCGTTAAGTGTTTCCAGCTTCATACCCTGAACGAAGGGAGACAATTATATTTACCTTGGTAACACAGATATCCAGCTAACGGTCTATGGTTTGTTTTTAATGTATCGACCAATACATCCCCATGATGCATATGGGATCAATTTATCTTTTCTTGGAAAATTAACAATAAAACAATAAGAATAATAACACAGAAGATATGACATGAACCATGTCAACATGATCAGTGTTCAATCTGTTTTTTATCCAGAGGAGAATTTTGATATCACTGGAAACATTTTTCATACATGTACAGACAAAATATATAACTTTCCTTCGTGCCAGCTAAAGCCAAAAACAAACTCTCACTCTTCCTTATTATCTCAATAACTGCATTGACAATATTTAACATTAATTAAATCAATTTAATTAGATTAATATTTAATGTTTAACAATATCAGATACAATACATACAGAATACATGGTCAGTGTCTTAAAAATATTATTTATATTGTGGCTATGGTGAAGAAAGATTTGGTGAGTGACTTTTGCCCTTCCGTACCAAGTCAAAATGCAGATTATACTATAAGACACCGACCACGTATTCTATTTATCCGTCAACACTTACTGAATATTCACACTATCCAAATTTCAACATCCTATTCAACCTTTGTTTACCTAACGTTGACGTTACCCTGAATTGTGCTTGATGATGCACGTCAATATGATTGCACCGCGCAGAAATATAGTTCCACGCTAAAAAGGAATATATCAAGCATTTTGATGAATTTTCGTACACAAACTTGTTTCAACATATAAAATCGCTTATTTAAAAGGTTATCTATATTTAGAAGTGAAATATTTCAGTAAGTCATGATGTAACTCTGTAGAATTAATGCATGTGCGTCTCTGCCCAATATAGTACAGCTATATGTAACAGGTGTATCCAAAAATGGCAGCACCAGTTCAGGATATTTCATAAAATCTCCACACATGATGTAGAACACACAAAGATGTACATACATCAGATACAATACAAACCGGTATATATCTTATAAAATCTCCACACCTTATGCAGGATACATAAAGATGCACATATTTTCCATGGTAAGATATTTCTTTCAATTTTATGCAACAGAGAACTGGCAAGTTTTCTTAAATAACAATTAAGTTGACATGTCATAAAATTTGAAAACAATAAATTAAGATTAAGTAAAAACAACCATGGCAATTAACATTAAATTACATCTAAACTGCCTAACTTAAACACTGGGATAAATGATTAAAATCATTTCATTGTATAAAATAGCACCAGTCAACACACACGATGCGAGTTGCTTCCTGTGATATCGACCCCCACCCCTCCCTTCCCCCTCCCCACACCACCATGCCCAGTATAACTGCCGGTCACAGATAATTAAGTGTCTCCTACTAACTGATTAATACACGTAGCCAACTTAAGGTATCTTACTCAAACAATGTAAGTAACCTTGGTTATACTCGGGTAACTCATGTTAATGCTTGCATGAAATACGAAGTTACACAAGCTGGTAACTCTTGGTTACACTCACAGGTAACTCTTTATAATAGTCCCATGGACATATAACACATGGTAATATTTACAGGAAACTCACAGTGGCACTCACAGGCAATATTTAGTCAGTTCAATTGAAACTCTTACGAGTTACTACACTAACTGATAACTCCTGATAACTCTTGGTAACGCTCACACGTAACGCTTGGTTACACTCATGTGTAACTCTTGGTTACATTCACAGGTAACTCTTGGTTACTCTCACAGGTAACTCTTGGTTACTCTCACAGGTAACTCTTGATTACATTTATAGGTAACTCTTGGTTACTCTCACAGGTAACTCTTGGTTACTATCACAGGTAACTCTTGGTTACTCTCACAGGTAACTCTTGGTTACATTTACAGGTAACTCTTGGTTACTCTCACAGGTAACTCTTGGTTACATTCACAGGTAACTCTTGGTTACTCTCACAGGTAACTCTTGATTACATTTATAGGTAATTCTTGGTTACTCTCAGAAGTTACTCTTGGTTACTCTCACAGGTAATTTTTGATTACATTCATAGGTAATTCTTGCTAACATTCACAGGTAACACTTGTTTAAACTCACATGTAACTCCTGGTTACACTCACAGGTAACACTTGATTTCACTCACATGTAACTCTTGGTTACACTCACAGGTAACTCCTGGTAACATTCACATGTAACACTTGCTTAAACTCACACGTAACTCCTGGTTACACTCACAGGTAACACTTGATTTCACTCACAGGTAACTCTTGGTTACACTCACAGGTAACACTTGATTTCACTCACAGGTAACTCTTGGTTACACTCACAGGTAACTCTTGGTAACATTCACAGGTAACACTTGCTTAAACTCACACGTAACTCCTGGTTACACTCACAGGTAACACTTGATTTCACTCACATTCACAGGTAACTCTTGGTTACACTCACAGGTAACTCTTGGTTACATTCACAGGTAACTCCCGGTTACACTCACAGGTAACACTTGATTACACTGAGAGATAACTCTTGGTTACATTCACAGGTAACACTTGATTACACTGAGAGGTAACGCTTGATTACACTGAGAGGTAACGCTTGATTACACTGAGAGGTAACGCTTGATTACACTGAGAGGTAACGCTTGCTAACATACACAGGTTACTCTTCGTTATACTCAGAGTTACACTGTAATAATCACCCGCTGGATAGAATGTGTCTTCTTCACGCCACACTGAGGAATGATGAGTAAAAACCTGTAACATTATATTAATATATTAACATTATTCCACCTCGAATTAACATGGCAACACTAAAACAAGTGCACTGAACATAACAGCAGTATCACTGATATCACTGATATATATATGTTTCCTCTACTAGGACTAGTCCCTTTGCCCATCAGTACAGCACCACCATACATACAAATTGATTGTCCTCCTCCTCTCCAATTAGCCTGTTGAACCTTATTCCTACATTTGTTTCACCTTTTGAACCTTATTCCTTCATTTGTTTCACCTTTTGAACCTTATTCCTTCATTTGTTTCACCTTTTAAAACTTATTCCAACATTTGTTTCACATTTTGAAACTTATTCCTACATTTGTTTCACCTTTTGAACCTAATTCCTACATTTGTTTCACCTTTTGAAACTTATTCCAACATTTGTTTCACATTTTGAAACTTATTCCAACATTTGTTTCACCTTTTGAACCTAATTCCTACATTTGTTTCACCTTTTGAAACTTATTCCTACATGTGTTTCACCTATTGAACCTAATTCCAACATTTGTTTCACCTTTTGAAACTTATTCCTAGATTTGTTTCACCTTTTGAAACTTATTCCTACATTTGTTTCACCTTTTGAACCTAATTCCTACATTTGTTTCACCTTTTGAAACCTATTTCTTCATTTGTTTCACCTTTTGAACCTAATTCCAACATTTGTTTCACCCTTTGAAACTTATTCCTACATGTGTTTCACCTATTGAACCTAATTCCTACATTTGTTTCACCTTTTGAAACTTATTCCTAGATTTGTTTCACCTTTTGAAACTTATTCCTACATTTGTTTCACCTTTTGAACCTTATTCCTACATTTGTTTCACCTTTTGAAACCTATTTCTTCATTTGTTTCACCTTTTGAACCTAATTCCAACATTTGTTTCACCTTTAGAAACTTATTCCTACATGTGTTTCACATTTTAAAACTAATTCCTACATTTGTTTCACCTTTTAAAACTTATCTCTATATTTGTTTTACCTTTTGAAACTTATTCCTTCATTTAATTTACCTATTGAACCTTATTCCTACATTTGTTTCACCTTTTGAAACTTATTTCATATTTGTTTCACCTTTTGAAACTTATTCCTACATTTGTTTCACCTTTTAAAACTTATTTCTATATTTGTTTCACCTTTTGAAACTTATTCCTACATTTGTTTCACCTATTGAAAATTCCTCCTACTACATTTGTTTCACCTATTAGACCTTACTTCTATAACGTTAACTTGGACATTGCTTCATCGTTTTTTTGTGCCGATATATATTTTATGTCAAATAAAATTTGCAATAATTTCATTGGTTCTGGAGGATAAGTTTTACAATTATACTTACACCAACAGAAGCCAGGATACAAAGGAACACGTCGCCATGACAAAGAAGACAAAACCCTGTAGCAAAGTGACGGTGGCATGGTAGATGGCGTTGGCTATTATTGAGCTTACCATGTTACCGATCGTCTCCAGAGCTGCGATACCCGCAAACATTGCACCTACAATATAATAATACAAACAACATATTGAATAGTTAGTTTGATCGCCCTGTTTTGCTACAGGATCAATTCCATCTCGACCAAACTTTCTGTAAAAACGATATTAAAATACATGGTGTACGTTTCCCGCACTTAAACAGTAAGAGCGATATATATATGTTTTTGTTAATTTTTTTAATAAAAAGATAGGATTTTAAGTAACGCCATTTTAACAGTGAATATGCATTTTGTCCATTACTGAAAACCAGATATTATAATAGTGTCGACATTTTACGTTTACTCATAGCCACACTAAGGAAAGTTTAGGTGTTGAGATCGAGGCTACATACCTTGTTTATCATCAGGTGTCATTTTGGACATAATGGCTCGAATCATAGGCATTGTCAGAATGCCGCCTGCTCCTACCACGGGTACTACCAAGGGAAGTAACTCAATTCAGCAAATGTATAACAATATAGATATATAGAGTAGATGGGAAAATGGGTTAGAGTTTCTACGATAACTTTGTTTAACTCAAAGTTACTGTTTAATTCAAGCACAAATAATGGCAATATATAATACTCATAAAATTTCATCACTCTATAACATTTTTAATTCACAAGAAAGAAGACAGGCTTTAATACAAAATAAACTTACCGATATAGAAACTGGTCTGTGTGGTGACAAAACCCTCCATTACGAGCGATGTTGTTGAAGAGAGTGTCCCAACCATGGCGATTGTTTCGTCTGTCATACAGAACTGGAGGAGTCGTATGAGCAGGAGACACCCGACCTGCTGGATGCCACTACGAATTGTTCTGTAGTATCCTACATCCACAGGGTCCCAACAAAATGGTGAGCCTAGCTGAACAAGTGTTTCCACGGACGGACGTCCTAAAATTACTAGTGTTGTCAGGAAAAACACGAGTATACAGACTATATATTTCCATCTTTCTCTCTTAGAATCTCGTTTAAAATAAAATGCGAGCGCATTTCCAACATATTTTGTAACATCTGAACATGTTCGTCTCTCTGTTATAATCTGAGCCGGTGCGACACTTTCGGGTAAAACAAACATGGTCATAATAAGACAAAGAACTAACAACGCCGCAGAGAACACCATAGTCCACGTAAAGCCCACAGACTTGATAAGATACCCTGATACCAGAAACCCCAGCAGAGAACCAAAACCAAGGCTTACCTCAACAAGAGTAATAGCAAAAGAGCGCTTGTCATTAGCAGCGGTGATGTCTGCCATATAGGCATAACTAGCCTGTAACATCCCTAAAAAATAGCCCAGAGATCCTTCTATGACAAAGGCGATAAGAAAATAGTAGACATCTATCTTTAAATACATAATAATCAAAACAATGCTACATCGGAGAAATGAGCCGACGGTGGGCAGAATAAACAAGAACTTTCTACCAAACGTGTCACTGAAGGTTCCGAACATGAGATTAGCAAATACCGCGGGTATTCCTCCCGCCAGTGAGAGGTAGATGTTGAGCTTTGCAGTAGCTTCCTGTACACTAGTTTGTTCTTTCGACATCTGTGATGTTTTGTCCTGACAGTGGCTGGATGAGCGGTTAGTCCAGATGGACTGGTTATTAGGGTACATCGATTTACCAATGGCGTAGTACTCATACTGACTAACACATGCAAAGGCTGTGATGAAGGAGAACATGTAGAGGAATGCGATAGGAAGGACGACCAGGCGATGGGCGTCCATCTTTTTCTCGTCAGCTGTGTCATCATTTTCTTCCTCCAAATCCATACCCTTGACATCATTGGTGGTTGATCCGTAACCATAGTCACTACTACTTGATTGTAGGAGTGGTTCCCGGTCAGCCATTTTCTGTGTCGGTATGGCTACACCTGTATTCTCCTTCCGATACTAAACTGTACCAACATCACGCCAGTCTGAGATTCTGAAATTTTGAAAGTAGAATATCATGGTGATTTAGCTAGATGAACTGTGTATTATACACTTGTTCTAAACTCCCTGCAGGTTTGATCTGCCACAAGTTTCATCAAGCCCCTGGCTGGTTAGAGTGTCAATCGGCGAAAGTGTCATAAAGAGGCAATTGGACAACAGGAAAGTTATATTCCTTCACAGGGTAGCCAGGGGCTTAACTGCCATAACGGCGGGACAAAACGAAAGTACTGTTAAGGCTGAGCGTGTGCACAAAAACAATCCTGTAGTTTATTCTAATTATTCAAGTAAAAATAACAGCCAGTTCAATCGGTGATCACAGATCGCATCTTAAACATGTCTTCATAAAACCGCTTCCTACCTAATTTATCATAATTATCAACTGTTTTTGAAAGGTGACGAATCCGGCGACTAAGTCAGATGGTACGTGAGAGTTACGTCCCTTATGTAAACAATGGTAGGACTACCGTCTGTAAACAGGGATTATTACAGTACAACACACAGTTATACCGTCATACAAACAAACGAATTACATATCTGTTTTAACATACATTGTAAATGACTCACCTATCCCTCGATCAGTGTTTACAAACAACATTAACTGACTAAAATTGACTAGAGCGGTACAGCCCACGACGCGGAAGTAGTCACACATCGAATACTTAATGATGTTTCATATCATTCTTAACAGCATTGATGAGGTTCCGTATCAGTAGTACGGGACAGGGTTATCTAGCGTTCACCTGTCTAACAAACTTACCGGTCCATTACAGTCCATGTTGTACACAGCCACACTCTCTCTATGTAACATGTAACCCACCAGGTCCTTTTGTGTGTCGACAGTCTAGATCTCTCCGTTAAGGTAGCTTACCTCTCACACATTATTATGTCACACAGAAGACACTGTCGGCGTGGATCACGGTCGAACAACTGCCGGTTATGGAGAGTAGAACCAGAGAACCTGTCGGAGAGATTTCGAACTTATCATTGTACAAGGAACATATACAATATGACCCTGGGTTTACCCATTAAATAAATATGGTCACATCACAATAACAGGTGTACATTCGTACGTAGCGTATTGGTAATCAGGATAATTGATCCTAAGTTATATTGTCAACATGTGGCAAGTGATATCAAAGTATGTTATATATATATACCTGTTGGGCTGGTCTCTGTACCGACAGGTGAATACATCAACTATACATGTACATAGTGCATGTATATTTGACCATTGGACAATGCGAAATGAAAGTGATATTACACGGTATCAATGCATAGTTCGGAGATCGACTGTATATACGTCCCCGATGGAGATACTCCATTAAGACGTGTTGTCAAAGACAGAAATGTTTATATCCATTTAAGAACATTACTATAGAAAGTACAGTAAGGATGTAGTCATATGAATTATTCAGTCATAAACTGTTTTCACTTATGAATTAGTAGATATAACCATTCTTGGTCAATCGATCAGAGCAGGACGTGTGGTTACAAGATAATCATTGTTTATAATTAATTATGTATGAGGACGTGTCGTCACAGTAAAGTTAGACATAAATGTTTGTAATAAATTCTGTATAGGGACGTGCCGTCACAGTAAAATTAGACATAAATGTTTGTAATAAATTCTGTATAGGGACGTGCCGTCACAGTAAAGTTAGACGTTGTTTATAATTAATTCTCTATGAGAACATGTCGTCACAGTTAATTCTGTATGAGGAAATGTCGTCACAGTAAAGTTAGACGTTGATTATAATTAATTCTGTATGAGAACATGTCGTCACCGTTAATTCTGCATGAGGACATGTCGTTACAGTAAAGTTAGACGTTGATTATAATTAATTCTGTTTGGGGACGTGTCGTCATATTAAACTGGTAGACTCCGTGTTCATACTTAGTTCAAAATTTGTCTTATTCGATACTCAACACTAGTTCACTTACATCTAATTATGGGATGAGAAAACAAGCTTAGAGTTGATGATGCTCCTTTAATCCTTTCCCATATAGAAGATACAATACAATTATTGTAATAGAAATGTTGTTAAATACATGTACTCAGTTCCCAGATGTAAGTGTTTGACGAAGACATGCGGATCCTTAAAAGAGCTATTTTTTGTCGAATTCGTGGTAATGTTTGGGAATTCCCATTGAGAACCATTCATAACCTACCCCGAAAAACTACCGGCTTTCCCATTCACAAAAGCTGTTTTATTATTAGCAACTTTTTACCCGAGTCCCGACAACAAATTATCTTGATGAATGGGACTCAACGTCGCATTTTTGTGATACGGATAGTCAATAGCCGTGCATGTCTAGACCAATATTTGTGACTAAGTTATCAATACATAGACACAGGACCGTAAGTATTAAATAAATCCAAGTATTACAGAAGTATTACAGATTAGAAGCTAAGACAAATCGTTCGGGAATAAACAACAGTATTTAATACACATAAACTGTGTTACTACTAACATAGTTAAAACACAGGAGTAATTTCCATAGATGTTAATAAAGGTAACGATAAAATGTTAAAAGGAATATCAAACAAGACATATAATACCACAGGATTCGGACGTTCTGTACACAAGAAATGCAACGTGGGAAGGTACCATCACTTATTTGTTTTTCGTGAAATAATCATTGCATATAGATAAAAAATTAAACTCACTTGTTCAGGAGGAAATTGTTCCTCAATCGAAAAAATGGAATATTTCTCACTAGGACGACCGTAAAACTTCTCAATAATTTTCATCAACCTGCATCGGTTTCAATACTTGAGTAAAAATCAAGAGGATATGACTATGAATACAAGGAATTCTGGTTATCACAGTGATTGTTACTGGTGACACATGTCACGTTCGGTAAACAGTGGAGTAGAGACAACACCGTGCTTCTTTCTGGTGACACATGTCACGTTCGGTGTACAGTGGAGTAGAGACAGCACAGTGTTTCTTTCTGGTGACACATGTCACGTTCCATGAACACTGGAATAGACCAAACACAGTATTTCTTACTGGTGACACGTGTCACGTTCTGTGATCAGTGAAGTAGAGACAGCACAGTGTTTCTTACTTGGGACACATTTCACGTTCGGTGAACAGTGGAGTAGAGAAAACACCATTACAAGACGAGATAATTAACATCATACATACTGGACTTCACACGCATAAGGAACTAAAATAAATCTTTACAAGGATGTAATGTGACGACCGTAGAACTTCTTCGTAGTCCACGAGTACCTACATCACCTGATGTTAACGAATATAGGGAGAAGTTTTATGATCGTCACAATGAGGAGAAGTATTGTGTTTCCCTGTACCTGTTTTGTTTTTGTTGTTGGTTTCCTTCTCAGATATCAGAAGTCAATTGTTCTTTCTGGCGTAAAATGTAAAAAGAAATTATAACAACATACATTCGGGGTTGTTTCTCACACACTAATGTTTCTGTTCGTAGATGATTGTATAATAGCATTTTAGTTGACAGTATTCATAATTATACACATCCACCTTACTTCTCAAACGTCCATTAGTGATGATTAATTATATAATGAAAGTATAATGAAAATATGGGATGGAAGGTTGTTTATGCAATCTGTCTACTATGTCAAAGTGTCTTGAAAACCACATTCATGTTATTTTTTTTTACGATTTTTTTTAATGTAGATAACCTTATTTCTGATAGCCAATCTGGTTTCAGAGCCATCCATTCATGTCTGACAGCACTGACTAATATTACTAATACTTGGTATAATGCCACAAACACAGAAATGTTAACCAGTGTTTTATTTTTAGATTTTAGAAAGGGATTCGACCTAGTGAATCATCAAATTTTATTCTCCATGCTCAAATTGTATGGTTGCTCATCCAAAACAGTTAAGTCATTTGAGCGGGAGGTTTCAATTTTTCAATTTCAAAAACACTTTGAGTGATTTTCTCCTCTTATCTGTCGGAGTACCACAAGGCTCAATATTGGGACCACTGTTGTTTATTTTATATGTAAATGACCTTCCCGTAGTCTCAAACCATTCCACAGACCCATAAAAGATCACCTGACATCGTGAATCAAAATCTTTTGATTGTAACTACTTCACAGATAAAATGTAGGATACAGAGTAATTTATTTGTTGTTATCGACAATGTAAATAATGAAAGACTTCTTGGAGTGTCGATAGCTGTCTCTCCTGGAACCATTAATTTATCAATATCTGTAAGAATTTATGTCAATTTTTTCAGATGAAAAAGTTGAAGCCATTTATAAGTCAGTGCTCTTGTATGATGTTTTATGATTGTTTTATTAGCATACACATGGGTTATTGCTCCACTGTCTGGGGCAACAGTGCCAAAAAGGATGATGCAAAACAAGAGCGTACTGTAGAAGAGAGCAGCAAAAATTATTTTAAACTTTGATTTCTCTTTACTTTCGTGTGATAAGATTAAGTGCCAAAATTAGTTGCCTTTCTATAAATAAGTTTTATGCAACCGGGTTGTTTTAATGTACAAAGTTCTTAAAAGTTTAGCTCCGCGAAGTTTGAATTGTTGTACTTATACGTCTGATGTTCAAAGTGGATCTACAAGACCTTCCTCTTCACTTTACTTGTCCTCTCACAAAACACACATTTTTGGAAACTATTTTAGTTACTATGGAGCTATTACATAGAATCTTTTACCAAACAATGTGAGGAATTCTACTTCTGTATTAGCTCTTAAGAAATCTGTAAAGAAATTTGATATGTGAACGATATCTCTATATCTCTGTTGCTGTATTTTACTTGCCTGTGATATATTATCTTTTTCCATATGTAAGACAAACATATTCCTCCTTATGTTATCAAAAATGAATAAAACCAAATATGACAATAATAATAATAATTATTATTATTATCCTTACTATTATGATCTTTCTGTAGCCCAAATACACTTAAGAGCTGAATCATAAACTGATTTGTTATACTCAGTATTACAAAGTTGACAGCTATGGAATACATCCTTTGATTAATAGTAAAATGGCCATATTGGTAGAGAGAAAGCATCAAGGTGTTTCTTTCATCTATACATTGTATATAAAAAAGGAAATGCTGTACTGCTCCATCTGAGGTACAACAGACACAAGAAGGACCCACACGCAAATAATGATCTGTATGAAGATCATAATTTAGCGAGCTCAGAGAGTTTCCTAATTGACAAAGGTTTATCTTATATTGTCGAGGACCGTGTAGCTAGAGAAGAATATTTGTCATTTGTTCGCCCTGTAATGTTTTATCCAGAAACTTATGAATTCATCAAACAGAGTGACTATCTGTGGATACTAACAGAAAACAAACCGAGAGAAAAACTTGCATTGTAGTTTACGTGCAATGCACATAGGAAGGTATAAATAATGTTGTTCCTGCGGCTGTAGAAAAGATCATCAGGGTCAAATATGTATGGTTGAGTAATATCAAAGAAATGTATTCAGGAGTTTCATTGTTAAGTATTGTATACATCAGTGTTGTCGTGTGTTTTTCCTCTTCCTTTGTAGGGGTACTTCTGCGCAATCCAGTTATTATCCTTTGCTGCCTTAAGATTGATAGATTCTAGAAGATGATTTGCATAGCCTGAACAGTTGTCTTCTATAACATGAACATATTCTAACAAAGGTCTTATGAATGCGCTATACATTACAGTAGGAGAATTTCTATAAGATTTGTTCATTATTTGATATGCCTGTCTGTAAATAGAATCAATTCGTTCGGACCATTTGCCATTATTGATAAAGTGAAGGCCAAAATGTGAATGGAACCTGCTCAAAATCAAAAAAGATATTATGATTTCTTACTTCTGTACCGGATTCAGCTTTTGAGGTGTTAAATGAATATTCTGTCGCATTGCTTGTGTATTAATATTACTTATACAGCAGTGTTGAAATTTGTGAGAAACACACCAACAAGACACTGATGAGAGGTCTTCCGATTGATCATGTAGACATCATTGGATTTTTCACACAACGGTAAAATATTAACAATTAATATGGGTTACATTTAAATATCGCATCTAAAATTCAGAATTGGAAAGTGTCATCAGCAAATAATTTCATACTACTATGGACACAACATATTTTATCATTTATATAAAGTAAAAATAGAAATGGACAGCAAACTGAGCCATTGGGAACACCAGCTACAAAAGGTTTAAATGCAAAACTTCCATTAATTACTCTTTGCTTTCTACCAGAGAGATAATTCTTGAATCATTTTAGAACATTTCCTTTTATTCCACAGGGTTCAGTTTGTATCATAAAGCCTTATGTAACACCCGATCAAAGACTTCGCCTATAACATAACAGATAAATCCCAGTTCTTCGTTTTCAGTTAAGCAACTAGTAACCGTAATGTAAATTGGAAGTAGTTGAATCTTTCGGCAAAAACCCTGATTGATGTTTAGTTACGATATCACATTTTATAAGGTGGTTGTAAAAATATCTAAACGTTATCTTTTTAAAAAAAAAAAAAAAAAAAAAACACGAAGTAACTGATACTGGTCTGTAATGGGACACACTGCCAATTTAAGTATATACAGTTTAAGTTTTGTACCCCTCGAGAGGTCCAGACGATATGTCCAATTGTCATTTTGTGTATAAATAATTATATCCTTGTATCCCACAATAGAGACGAATGTCTGATTACCGCTCTATGTACAGTTAAATCCTTGTATCCCACAATAGAGACGAATGCCTGATTACCGCTTTATGTACAGTTAAATCCTTGTATCTCACAATTAGGACGAACGCCTGATTACTGCTCTATGTACAGTTAAATCCTTGTATCCCACAAATAAGACAAATACGTGATAATCGCTCAAAGATTTTATTTTTTTATATGTAATGATTCTTCCTTTCTTAATTATGTGTAAGAAGATTGATTGCTACATATTTACAAATGTTTTTTATGTTTTCGAATATCCTTTCATCGGTTTGTCTTTGTTTAGGCGTCTGATGAACCAATGTAGTAATCTGGAAAATCGAGTGATTACTCATTAATTAACTCATTATGATAAATCAGCGGAAATCAGAGATAAATGGATTTAAGATCACTCACTAATTATGTCGTTATATCAGTAGAAATCACAGAGATAAGTGCATTACAGTTCACTTACTAATTATGTCGTTAGATCAGGAGGAGTCACAGAGATAAGTGGATTACAGATCACTCACTAATTATGTCGTTAGATCAGGAGGAGGCAAGGAGATAAGTGAATTAAAGATCACTTACTAATAATGTAACTTTTATAGATCAAGAGAAATCAAAGAGATAAATGGATTACAGATCACTCACTAATTATGTTGTTAGATCAGGAGAAATCACAGAGATAAGTGGATTACAGATCACTCACTAATTATGTTGTTAGATCAGGAGAAATCACAGAGACAAGTGGATTACAGATCACTCACTAATTATGTCGTTAGATCAGGAGGAGGCAAGGAGATAAGTGGATTAAAGATCACTTACTAATAATGTAAATTTTATAAATCAAGAGAAATCAAAGAGATAAATGGATTACAGATCACTCACTAATTATGTTGTTAGATCAGGAGAAATCAAAGAGATAAGTGGAGACTCACTAATTATGTTGTTAGATCAGGAGAAATCACAGAGACAAGTGATTACAGATCACTCACTAATTATGTTGTTAGATCAGGAGAAATCACAGAGATAAGTGGATTACAGATCACTCACTAATTATGTTGTTAGATCAGGAGAAATCACAGAGACAAGTGGATTACAGATCACTCACTAATTATGTTGTTAGATCAGGAGAAATCACAGAGATAAGTGGATTACAGATCACTCACTAATTATGTCGTTAGATCAGGAGGAGGCAAATAGATAAGTGGATTAAAGATCACTTACTAATAATGTAACTTTTATAGATCAAGAGAAATCAAAGAGATAAATGGATTACAGATCACTCACTAATTATGTTGTTAGATCAGGAGAAATCACAGAGATAAGTGGATTACAGATCACTCACTAATTATGTTGTTAGATCAGGAGAAATCACAGAGACAAGTGGATTACAGATCACTCACTAATTATGTTGTTAGATCAGGAGAAATCACAGAGATAAGTGGATTACAGATCACTCACTAATTATGTTGTTAGATCAGGAGAAATCACAGAGACAAGTGGATTACAGATCACTCACTAATTATGTTGTTAGATCAGGAGAAATCACAGAGATAAGTGGATTACAGATCACTCACTAATTATGTCGTTAGATCAGGAGGAGGCAAATAGATAAGTGGATTAAAGATCACTTACTAATAATGTAACTTTTATAGATCAAGAGAAATCAAAGAGATAAATGGATTACAGATCACTCACTAATGATATCGTTAGATCAGGAGAAATCACAGAGACAAGTGGATTACAGATCACTCACTAATTATGTTGTTAGATCAGGAGAAATCACAGAGACAAGTGGATTACAGATCACTCACTAATTATGTTGTTAGATCAGGAGAAATCACAGAGATAAGTGGATTAAAGATCACTCACTAATTATGTTGTTAGATCAGGAGAAATCACAGAGATAAATGGATTAAAGATCACTCACTAATTATGTTGTTAGATCAGGAGAAATCACAGAGATAAGTGGATTAAAGATCACTGACTTATATTTCTATATTCACTGATTTCTTTTTAGAATACTAAGATTTGTTGAAAAGATTTTTCGGGGAGTCCGGCTCGGAATTGGAACCATCAGGTATCGGGTTTTAGATGGTACTACATCTTACTGAGTCCGTATCGACACATTGGTTTGTTTCATTCATCTGTTTTTTGGAATATCTTATTCCTGAAGTCTTATTTATGATTAATGTTTCGAGAAAGTATGCAGACATAGTTGATCATTACAATGAAATGTACATGAAAAATCGCTTACTGACAAGGAATTAGACGGGGTATCTGCAGACTTGTATGTATGATATGGAATGATATGTTTTTTCTCTGACTAACTTGAGCATGAAAATGTTTGAGTTGGCGCTCATAAAGGCATGAATGCCAACTGAAAGCACTCCAATGCTTTTACTTACTCATTTCGTCATTAAAAATTGTCCGCACTTTCATTTGTTAAGGGAGAAATATAAGCAACACTTTTTTGGGGGGATATATTGTGTCAGTGTAAGAAGCTGGTAAATTGAAGCTGCTAAAACATTTAAAAAGATTAACCGACTTCAGAAGTGTCCATTACTTAAAAGAAAATGTAATCAGCAACTTGGATTGACATGGCATTTACATGGCTTGTGTCATCGATGGAGCAAAAACAGCTAACCCTCCAGAACACCTGGTCCTATTCTTCTATCACTTTTTTTCATGGGTCTAAGTATAATTCTTTCTTTTGTTGATATTGTCTCCTAGTCTTATTGAATTTGTACTTGAATTATGATTAAGATGTCAGTTTTTGTTGTTGTTGTGCTTGTCTTAGTTATAACAACGGGAAGGAAGCGGTGTTTAGGATACTTACATAGCTAACAAAAAGCCGAGAAATAAATATGCGGCCAGAACAAGAAAAGCTGTTCCCCGGAATGTATCCACGGTCTCCCCATATATAGCGTTGGACGCCACACCGCCAAACAGTGAACAAAACGTTTCCACGATAGCCATCCCGCCAAACATACTACCTTTAATGATAACAGTCCCAGTGAGAAATATACATCTACCATATCTAAAGACTACAATGCATGGCGACAGTGCCCAGAGACAGGTAATTTGTTAGATAAAGAACTACTCAGTGTAATCCTCGCTAATTCTTTTGTCTGCATTTCTGTGCTCAAAGTTGACAATCTACATTGATATTGTATCAGAGAAAGTGTCTTAAGAACTGAAGTAACGTCACGTTCTAAATCGTTCAATCTTGACAAACTACACTAAGAAATTATATTATTGTCTAGTTTTTTTATGATTTGAAATGTAGTTACAAGTTCACCAATGTTCGCCTCTTTTTATGAAGAGACTTTTGTATTTTGTATATTTACACTTGTTTTCTATTCGATAGCCGTATCCAATATCTACTGACTTTCACGTGTTAAATCCATTTTTTTCTCATTTAGCTAAAATAAGTTAAATCCTTTTGTAAAGAATGCACTAACTTAGTTTAATATCACCATTGGAATATAAGAATGTATCAGTTTGACCAACCAGAGCGGTGACTTCAAGTCACGGCATTGGAATTCACACATTTTCCTGTTCAGACGCAAATTAAGCTTATGTTGAATAAGTTGGTTTACGATATAATAATTTTCTTGTGTACATTTAAGATTTTCTCTAATTTGGTATATAAAAACTGGTTTGTAAGCAACTCTTTCCAGATAACAGTATTATAGAGATAGAACAGAAATCGAAATAGGGTGATTAGGAAGTGACAGACCTGCCCTGGAAGCAAAATATCCAGCAGGTGATGAGTAACAATAGTTTCTGGACTGGAAACCAGCTTAGTAACAATAGGTATAGGTAAGTAGCGTGGTAAAATACAATGCAAAGCAGACTATTCAATATGGCGCCGTCTTAATATCAAGATAACTTGAAACTATCTGAAGTAAAAGAGCGCGTAAATATTTCCTATATATACCTACATTTTTCAAACATGCGTCGCACTTGTAAAATATATATTCGTGAAAGATATGTAGTATTAAACTGGAAACCATTAAATATCATCTATATATCAATTGCATGTTAGAATTAGGACATATATAAGGCTTTGTTTTTAGTATATCTAATTAAGTCAATAGAAACGAGGAAATAAGTTCCATTGGTATACTTCACTATAACACATAAATATCGACCTCGTTATAGCATGTTAATACCTAACTCGTGTGTATATACCAGTACCGACTTCGTAATATACGAATGCTGACTTCATTATAACGACAGTACTGACCTGATTATAACATACCAGACTAGTACTGACCTGATTATAACTTACCAGACCAGTACTGACCTGATTGTAACATACCAGACCAGTACTGACCTCTTTATAAAATACCAGTACTGACCTCATCATAGCATAGAAGTACGAGTATCGACCTCGTTATAACATACTTCTTCTCATATGATATATCAGATATGATCAAACTCCTGTAACAGCATACAACCTTGTTTATCCTGTGGTGTTAGACGTGACATGACTCCTCGAAGTACCGGTACTGCCATAGTCCTAGCAAAGCTCAATACTGGGACTGAAATTAAACCAAATCACTTGATACATAACCATAGAGAAAGCTGTAGAAATATATATCCATCAGTAATGATTCAGCCAGATAACCTCGAAGGTTTGAAACACATTTAAACATTTCGTCTGATATATCTTACTTGGTATCACGTTAGAATAGCATCCTCTGATAAATCTTACTTGGCATCACGTTAGAACACCCTCTTATGATATATCTTATTGGTATTATGTTAGAATACCATCCTCTGATATATCTTTCTTGGTATATCGTTAGAATACCCTCTTTTGATATATCTTTCTTGGTATATCGTTAGAATACCCTCTTCTGATATATCTTACTTGGTATCACATAAGAACACCCTCCTCTGATATATCTCATTGGTATCACGTTAGAATACCCTCTTCTGATATATCTTACTTGGTATCATGTTAGAATACCCTCTTCTGATATATCTTACTTGGTATCACGTTAGAATACCCTCCTCTGATATATCTTACTTGGTATCACGTTAGAATACCTTTCACTAATATATCTTTCTTGGTATCACGTTAGAATACCCTCTTCTGATATATCTTACATGGTATCACGTTAGAACACCCTTCTCTGATATATCTTACTTGGTATCACGTTAGAACACCCTCCTCTGATATATCTTTCTTGGTATATCGTTAGAATACCCTCTTCTGATATATCTTACTTTGTATCACATTAGAATACCATCCTCTGATATATCTTTCTTGGTATCACGTTAGAATACCCTCTTCTGATATATCTTACTTGGTATCATGGTTAGAATACCCTCCTCTGATATATCTTTCTTGGTATCACGTTTGAATACCCTCTTTTGATATATCTTACTTGGGATCACGTTTGAATATCCTCTTTTGATATATCTTACTTGGTATCACGTTAGAATACCTTTCACTAATATATCTTTCTTGGTATCACATTAGAATACCCTCTTTTGATATATCCTATTGGTATCACGATAGAACACCCTCCTCTGATATATCTTACTTGGTATCACGTTAGAATACACTCTTTTGGTATATCTTATTGGTATCATGTTAGAATATCCTCTTCTGATATATCTTATTGGTATCATGTTAGAATACCCTCCTCTGATATATCTTATTTGATATCACGTTAGAATACCCTCTTTTGATATATCTTACTTGGTATCACGTTAGAATACCCTCTTCTGATATATCTTACTTGGTATATCGTTAGAATACCCTCCTCTGATATATCTTACTTGGTATCACGTTAGAATACCCTCTTCTGATATATCTTACTTGGTATCACGTTAGAATACCCTCTTCTGATATATCTTACTTGGTATCACGTTAGAATACCCTCCTCTGATATATCTTATTTGATATCACGTTAGAATACCCTCTTTTGATATATCTTACTTGGTATCACGTTAGAATACCCTCTTCTGATATATCTTACTTGGTATCACGTTAGAATACCCTCTTTTGATATATACTTGGTATCACGTTAGGATATATCACTTTGATATATATTGGTATCACGTTAGAATACCCTCTTCTGATATATCTTTTGATTACTTGGTATCACGTTAGAATACCCTCTTCTGATATATCTTACTTGGTATCACGTTAGAATACCCTCTTGGTATACGTTAGAATACCCTCTTCTGATATATATGGTATCACGTTAGAATATCTGATATATCTTACTTGGTATCACGATATAATACCCTCTTGGATATATCTGATATCTTTTGATATATCTTATGGTATCACGTTAGAATACCCTTCTGATATATCTTACATGGTATCACGTTAGAACACCCTCCTCTGATATATCTTACTTGGTATCACGTTAGAATACCCTCTTCTGATATATCTTACTTGGTATCACGTTAGAATACCCTCTTCTGATATATCTTACTTGGTATCACGTTAGAATACCCTCTTCTGATATATCTTACATGGTATCACGTTAGAACACCCTCCTCTGATATATCTTACTTGGTATCACGTTAGAATACCCTCTTCTGATATATCTTACTTGGTATCACGTTAGAATACCCTCTTTTGATATATCTTACTCGGTATCACGTTAGAATACCCTCCTCTGATATATCTTACATGGTATCACGTTAGAACACCCTCCTCTGATATATCTTACTTGGTATCACGTTAGAATACCCTCCTCTGATATATCTTACATGGTATCACGTTAGAACACCCTCCTCTGATATATCTTACTTGGTATCACGTTAGAATACCCTCCTCTGATATATCTTACTTGGTATCACGTTAGAATACCCTCTTCTGATATATCTTACATGGTATCACGTTAGAACACCCTCCTCTGATATATCTTACTTGGTATCACGTTAGAATACCCTCTTCTGATATATCTTACTTGGTATCACGTTAGAATACCCTCCTCTGATATATCTTACTTGGTATCACGTTAGAATACCCTCTTCTGATATATCTTACATGGTATCACGTTAGAACACCCTCTTTTGATACATCTTACTTGGTATCACGTTAGAATACCCTCTTCTGATATATCTTACTTGGTATCCCGTTAGAATACCCTGTTCTGATATATAATTATACTTTGCGCTAATCAAATATCTGCAAGAAATATACAGTGCAATGAAATCTGTTAGAATTCTACAATAAATCAATATCTAAATATAGATCTGCAGTATTCCTATATCACGATATCCTAATAAAATTCTAAAATTCGGTAATATAACGAATAATAATGTAATCAACATTTCACGAATCCCATTGGAGCATAGTGTTTTGTTATACATTATAAATATGTTCTATTCTTAGAATAAAGATGGAAAGTTGCTTTAATTACCTGGGAGAGAAGTCCCAGACAAACACAAAGTAATCTGGGGAAAAGTGTCACCGAATATTAAATGAAATAGTTATCGGACATTAAAAAAACTACACCCACCGAAGAATAGCATCAATGTAGTATAGGACAACGCCTCTAGTACCATCCCAGTAAAATTAGACAGAACAGCTAGAACGGCTATGAGTGTCTCTTCTAGACACCACTGTAATGGACGAAATAGTAGCATTCCTGTCACGAACGGTAATCCATGGTTTATAGCAGCATAGTTTCCAACCTCCACTGAACTCCAACAAAATGGCGAGTTCAAGCCATACAAAGTTTCTATTCCATGAGAACCGATTGCTGCCTGAATGTTCAGGAAATAGATCACCATGCACACTAGAAATATTTTTCTTTTCCCATTGATGGAAATGTCTCTGAAGTAAAACACGTAAATGTCGACTGCAAGTTTAGCAACAGATTTCCTCTGATCGTCCTTTGGTTTGCGTAACGTTTCTTGTACAAAAATCAACAACAATATTGGTACAAGCGAACAACAAGAACTTATTACTAACACATACGTGAAACCTTTTGCTCGAATTATAAAACCGGAAGTAAAACCTCCGATTATTAGCCCAAATCCTAAAGACAGTTCGGTCATCGCTATAGCAAACGTCCGCGTCTTTCCCGGCTCTGTGATGTCAGCAACCATGGACATGACAATAGACATAGCAAGAACCCAGCCTCCTCCAACTCCGTCAATAAAGCTAAAAATAATGAACACGTAAATGTTCCAGTTGAGATATGTCCCTAAAGTAATAAGAATACATTTAAGCATGTTTGCTATAAAAGGGATGAGGAGAATGATCTTTCTGCCATATCTATCACTAAAAGAACCGTACAAGAAAATGCTCAGTGTTCCAGGAATTCCTTTCGCCAAATCCAAGTAGATATTGAGTTGAGCTGCTAGTTTTTGTACAGTCTGTTGATCGTGAAATAGCTGTGATGTTATGTTTATCTCACATTTCGATTCGTTACTACTGAAACTTACATTTGGGAACCTATCCCTGCGGATGTAGGCGTACATGTACTGTGTTGTGACGAGCTGGGCAAGTATGAAGCTGTAAATAAGAGACACCATTATGAATAAGAGTAACATAAATCTTCCCATTGTACGTTTGCCGGTTTTGATTTCTGCTACATTCTGATTATCTGCATTGTTAGACCACTTATTATCTGTAGAATCCGAGACCGCATAGACTGCCTGTAGAGGTAAAGGTTCCTTACTCTCCGATGGCTGCAGAGAATAATTCTGACGCCGATCCATCATCACAGAGTTCACCTACAATATGAATGTCTTTATTATACAAATGTAAGTACAATAATGTATAATGATCTTTTACATCTGATCTTCATACTCGTGACACTGACGTGATGTACTGATTATGGCTACGTCTTCGACAGAATGTCACCGACAAATTGTGATGGTTCTGGCTTTGTCTTAAGCTAACTGAATACGGTTGCAATTGGCTGATAGTGACGTTAAAATATATTGACGGATTGTGACGTTGTGATTCACATGGTGTGACGTTGAGATTAACCTAGTGAATTTGACGTTTTGTTTGCAGAAGGGGGCGTTGTAATTGACTGACTGATGTAGAATTTGTGTTTGACTTCGTGTGATGTTAGGATTGAGTCACTGACTTTTACGTTAGTTTGATAAAGTAGGACGATGCGACTGACTGAATTTGACGTTTTCTTTGGAAGAGTGGAGGGTTGCAATTGACTGATTATGGTGTTGGGATTGACTGAGTTTGTTGTTGTCTTTGAAAGAGTAGGACGTTGTAATTGACTGACTGATTGTGACGTTCTGATTGACAGAGTGGGACGTTGTAATTGACTGATTATGATGTTTAGGTTTATTAATTGTGATAGGAAATGGGACAAACTTTTAATGACATTAAATCTTTCAAGGAATCTAACGACACAATGGTCACAGTTGCCTAATCCTTGTAGACAGCGTTTGCTGCTAATTCTACACTTGTTCTTGCATAGAAACCTTCTTACAGTTCGATGATGAGAAATTCCGGACCAAAACAAATACATATGCGCAGATGTCTTATGATATGTAATAGTTTAAAACCTACATCATCCTGTTTTTGAAACAAGAAAACACATCACATTCACATATCATATTTTGATTTAATCTTCTGACAAAACTCTGACTTAATAACACTTAGATAAGTATAGATGTAGGGCCTATAATGACGGTAACGCAATAATATTTAAACGTTTTTGATAAGAAATGGTTATGCAGTGTCTAAAACTTTTGTTTTCATGATAAATCTTTTGTCTTACCACATATTTGTAATAATGACCAATCTTATCAATAGGTTAACGCAAACTGTTCTGTTACATAATGTTACAAAGTGTCTACCTTTGGAAAGGAAACTATCAGTTCACAGGAACATTATGGTAATAGGTCTACCATGTTGCCTTCGAATCTCACCAGATACTAGACAAATCCAATACTAATAAAAATATGCAACACCAAAAATAATAATTATATCATTGGTAGAAAACTTTCATCGTTAAACTTTGAGTATATAAGTATCAGGACTTTTATTCTATGTATTATATGAAAGAAAGAACTTTGAACTCGGGTATTCGTAATCGGTCGACTATTTAATTGAACAAGAGTTAACAGCTCGATAACATTAGAATCCATTCCTGACATTTGTCACTAATGTGCTTAATAAAGAGGATATACGTACCTTGGCGTGAGCCGTGTTATTGACCCTTGGCTTATATATGTACCTCTGACGATAAATAAAGATAGTAAAATGAAGTCGGTGCACATCATCGCGCTATCGTTATCATTGCTAATTGTTTAACTATGGTAGCTCTAAACCGGAAAAGAAAGTTCCACACATAAAGCTTTGTTTACATATACTGGCACAAGGTTTGTTGACGCTATCGTAAATTTTGTCTTGTACATGAATGTTGATACCATGATAAATTTTGTCCTGAAAATGCAATTCATGTTAATTTTTGTCCTGTAAATGCGTGTTATGTTTTGTCCTGTAAATGCCGTGTTATGTTTTGTCCTGTAAATGCCGTGTTATGTTTTGTCCTGTAAATGCCGTGTTATGTTTTGTCCTGTAAATGCCGTGTTATGTTTTGTCCTGTAAATTGATGCCGTTCTGCGTTCTTCCTGTAGGTTGCTGATTTGTTTTGCGCTGTAAATTGGCGGTTTGGTTTGCTTTGTGCTGTAATTTGATGCCGTGTTATGTTTTGTCCTGTAAATTGATGCCATGTTGTGTGTTGTCATGTAAATTAATGCCATGTGTGTTGTCATGTAAATTGATGCCAGGTTGTGTGTTGTCATGTAAATTGATGCCGTGTTGTGATTGGTCGTGTAAATTGATATCATGCCAAATTTTGTCCTTTATATAAGCGTCATGGTTTGTTTGCTTTTCTGTCTCAATGTTCTGGCTTTCTGCCATAATTAAATTTAGATATTGACTTTTTATTATACATTAAGATCATTACCCTTCCAAATTTCTTTAATCTGTCTATTTTGAAAGTGAGTAAACATCTCACCGCCGACCAGCTGGGGATGACGAGATTGGCCACAGTCAATTATTTTCTGAACAGCTGATGCTTTCACAGCTTGACAACATTTTGCAGTTAACAGTCTTCTCTAGATAACGCTTATCACGAGTACCCGATATTTAATTGAAGTCATTATCCAGAACGTTCTCGACGGGACAAAGTACATCTGTCCCTAAAGAATGATATTTTGATAGTCTCAGCTATTCATATATCTAAAACAACAAGTGTGACGTGACCGGTCCGATACATAAATGTCGTATTTTTTCAATCATCTCTATGTAAAAAGTCCTTCCACTGAGAAATATACTTAAAATAAAAACGTAAATATGATGGAATTTTTTATAAACAATTCTTTGTTGATGGTGAAAAGATAACCCAGCCGAAAACTAAAAACCCATAGAACAACTGTTAGTATCTCTGACGAGTCCTAGGGGACCAAAACAGCTATATGATGCAGTTTACTTCATTAATTAGTTCAACTGTTTCTTAATCCAATTTGTATTAAAAGGTGATATTCACTTATGTGTCGCATGCTAGTTCCCGAGGTTTGCCGTTTGACATTTCTTTCGATCACTATGTATTGTCTTCAGTCGTCTACTAAGTTTAAAATTTAGGTCCTTAGCATCACCGACGAGTACTAGAAAGACGAAACAGCAGTATGTTGCAGTTTAATTCATTGTTTAGAAATACAGTATCTTATCTAAATTTGTATTAAAAGATGGAATTCCCTTGTGTGTCTTTTGAACACTCTTTTCATACGAAGCTGAATTTAAACAGAGGACAAAAGACCTTGCCATATCCATTAATTTCACTCTTTTTTTTTTACTAATGATGAATTGTGATTAACAAGAAATGTACTGAATTTGCTGTTTACAAGAATTGTAAATGGACGCAACAGACTCTTCTACATCAGCCGCTTACCTCAATCTTTCTCTACAAATAGCATTGTATTTATACAAAATTATATTGTAATTATATGGTTAATAAGTGTTAAACCAGGAACAGTTAATATCCAGCATAATATTATACATAATGAGTTGGACATCTTTTTTGTGTGTGTGTTGCCAGTCGTTTCAGACATCTTAACACTCGGTGTTAATGGAGGTAATCACTGACAAAATAATCACGCTTCATCCGCCTTGCTCTTTCTATTTAACACGTACAGCACGCTGGAATACAGAAAAACAAATCAATAAAGATAATTGGTTAATAATAAGTACGATGTAGCCATAGGATTATTTTTATTTTGAAAATGAGAACATATACATAAAAATAACATCCCTTTCACCAGGAGCCGCCTGATTTGACCTAAATGTGACCATTATTTTTCCATTTCGATGAATTCGGATAGGAAATCGCAAGAAGTATATCCAAATATCAATTTTCAGAAAAATATATCATGAATTTGTGTCATGTATTTAAATGTTTTATATTATAATCGTACAGATCTTCATAGTTTCCAGTTGCTAACGGAAGCAATTTGCGTTAAAACAGCTTCAAATGCATTTTGGCAAACCTATAAATTTTTTAGGCAACTGAACCTAATCCAGTGTTATCAGAGGCATCTTAAATTTTATGCTCAAAAATTGGTACAAGCATGCGCAGATACCGAAACTTTCAAACTTTCAAAATTGATTTTGCGATTAGAATGTCGATGATATTTTACATCAGTGTCTATAGAACAGACAGTAAGACGTTTCTCTCAAGTTAGTGTACTGTTCATGGGGTCGGACGTTCCATCTCCACTACCGAAATCATGATATTACACGTATTATTTTTTGCTTGTTTTCAACGCACATTTTTCACAAACTAATTCAATTGGCAAGTTTTTTTAATCTAAAAATTCATTTTTTACATTCATTGCGACAAGTACTGGCAAAAACTCGACATTATTTTTGGAAAAATAAACTCAGCCGATGAGGTATATGATAGTGCTAGTGACATTGAGTCCTAGTGCCGGAGACAAGGTAGAATGTTTTCTCAATGCTCAATAAATCTTATAAACGTTCAAATATCAGGGAGCAATTCGGCCTTTGAATTGGCATTTTGTGTTGCCTTTTCTTTCAAATTCTACAACTGTGTTCGCCAGCGACGTACATATTCTTTAATTAGATACGATGAATCCGAATGCACGTTTACCGGTCGTCATTAGTCATGTTTTTAGGTAGACCAAAGTCGGTGAACTGAAATAAGTGTTCAATCACAGAAAAGTGTCATACCTTTTTGAATTTAAAGGTGTCACTTGTCTTTTTTTATATAAAAGTTTCTGTATTGATAAACATGCAATACAATATAAGATATCTAATAGTAATTTTGATTGTTAAAAAATGTATAGTTATTACAGATACTTACAAGGATAACACTAATGCGATAAATAGAAATCCGGCCAGAAAAAGGAATGCTGCTCCTCGGAATATCTCCACGGTCTCCCCGTATATAGCGTTAGAAACCACACTACCATAAAGTGAACAAAACGTCTCCACGATAGCCATCCCGGCAAACATACTCCCTGAATTAAAATGTTTCATTGATCTATGTGTAACGATAAACCGGAGGCAAAATATGAACAAAGTAAAGAAATACATGGAGACACATCACACAGCATTATCTATATCTTTCGATTTCGAATGTTTTTGGTCCCGACAACCACTAACAAGTACCAGAAGAACGAAACTGCTGTATGATAGAGCATACAATTATGGACCTCATTAAAACAGACGAGTATTTACCTTGTTTGTTGTGAGGTGTTAGACGCGACATAATTCCCCGAAGTACTGGCACTGCCATGGTCCTAGCAAAGCTTAACGCAGGAACTGAAACAGACAATACATGACTGTATCTGTGACGATGTTATTCATTATAAAATAATGGAGACATGTTGCCTTTAAAAACGAAGTATCACCGAGATGACATACAGGAGGTTTGTTCTTTGATGTGTTATACATACACATAGCCTACTCACCGAGGAAAAGCATCACAGTGTTGTAGGAAAATGCCTCCAGAACAAACCCAGCGAAATTGGAGAGAACTGCCAGGATAGCTATGAAACCCTCGTCTAAACACAGTTGTAAAGGACGAAACAAAAGCAGTCCTGTGGCAAAGGGTAGACCCCCACGCAACGTTATGTAGGTACCTACTTGCACAGAACTCCAGCAAAATGGCGAGTTCAAGCCATACAAAGTTTCTATTCCATTTCCACCGAACGCTGCCTGAAGGATGCAGAAATATATTAGCAGACACACTACAAATATCTTTCTCTTTCCCTTTATGGAGCTGTCTCTAACGTAAAACACATAAATGTCTACAGCAAACTGTGTGATAGTTTTCCTTTGATTGTCCTTCGACTTTTTGAAAGTCTCTGGTACGAAAATCAACAATATTACGGGAATAAGAGAGCAACAGGAACATACTAGCATTGAGTATGTGAAACCTACCGCTTTTATTAAGAAGCCGGAAGTAAAACCACCGATTATCAACCCAAATCCTAAAGATATTTCGGTCATGGCTATTATAAATGACCGAGTCTTTCCTGGCTCTGTGACGTCAGCAACTATGGACATAACAACAGACATGGCTAAAACCCAGGTTCCGCCAATTCCGTCAAAGAAGTTGAAAAACATGAATGTATAAATGTTCCAGTTAAAGAACATCCCTAAAGTTATCAGAATACATTTAATCATGTTTCCTGCGAAGGGGATGAGGAGGAAGGGTTTCCTGCCATATTTATCACTCAGAGAACCGTAAAACCAAATGCTTAGTATCCCCGGTATCCCTTTTGCCAACTCAAGGTAGATGTTGAGCTGTGCTGCGTGCTTTTGGACGATCTGTTGGTCGCTGTACACCTGTGATGTTTTGTTGATTTGACACTCCGACTCGTTAGTACTAAAACTTACATTAGGAAACATAGTCTTGCGAATGTAGGCGTAGATATATTGTGATGTGATGAGCTGGGTGAGTACGAAACTGTAAATAAGCAACAGCATGATAAATACGAGTATTAAAAACCTAACAAGCGGTTGTCTGCTTTTTATTTCTGCTACAGTAAGATCATCTGAATGGTCGGATGATTTGACGTCTACACTCGCCGAGACCACTGTGTCTGAATGTTGTTCTTCCGAAAAGCTATTCCTAATCGAGACACACGTGCCTTTTGATGTGAATGTCGGTAGGGATTCTTTATTCTCCAAAGTCTGCAGTGAATAATTCTGACGTTGAGCCATAATTAACTGAAATATAAATATTCTCAATTCATTCAAACAGTAAACAATATCACAGACATACGTACCTTATTGGAAGGTTGTAAGATCAGAATGGAATTAAATAAATGGTCATGACTTTGTGACAGACTGATTGTGAGGGTATGATTGAATAAGTGTGACTTTGTGACAGACCGATTGTGAGGGTATGATTGAATAAGTGTGACTTTGTGACAGACCGATTGTGAGGGTATGATTGAATGAGTGTGACTTTGTGACAGACCGATTGTGAGGGTATGGTTGAATGAGTGTGTCTTTGTGACAGACTGATTGTGAGGGTATGATTGAATAAGTGTGACTTTGTGACAGACCGATTGTGAGGGTATGATTGAATAAGTGTGACTTTGTGACAGACCGATTGTGAGGGTATGATTGAATAAGTGTGACTTTGTGACAGACCGATTGTGAGGGTATGATTGAATGAGTGTCTTTGTGACAGACTGTTTGTTATGTAATGTAATTTCGAAAGAGCTAATAAATAAAAGATGGATGATAAACGTTAAAAAACAACAGAAATATAAAACATTAACATTTGCATTTCATGAGGGCAAATTTGGTTTATCTAATGATGATTTTACCAAAATTACTCGTTATTCTCTACTTTCAAACATCAAGTCAAAGTTATTCGTGCCATCTGTAGACTAATGTAGATGAACACAAGCATAATGAAAAAGATATACCTACCTTGGCGTGGACTGTGTTGTTCTCAGTGTACTTACGTATGTATACATATCAACCACTGACCACAGATATCAACTTACTATCGTTATCATTTTTAATTATCAGCTAGCAAAGAAAGGAAGGACACTTATATATACATTTAAATGCATTTTACGTGCCACTAGTTAATGCCGTCACTTAGTACTTTACAAAATACAATCATTACTAGGATATTTAAGTGTCACATAGTACTTCAGACAATAGAGCTGTTTACTAGGATATTAAACCATCACTTAGTACTTCAGAAAATAGGGGTTTTTACTAGGACATTAAACCATCACTTAGTACTTCAGAAAATAGGGTTTTTTACTAGGACATTAAACCGTCACATAGTACTTCAGAAAATAGGGTTGTTTACTAGGACATTAAACCATCACTTAGTACTTCAGAAAATAGGGGTTTCTACTAGGATATTTAAGTGTCACATAGTACTTCAGACAATAGAGCTGTTTACTAGGATATCTAAACGTCACATAGTACTTCAGAAAATGGAGTTGTTTATTAGGACATTAAACCATCACTTAGTACTTCAGAAATTAGGGGTTTTTACTAGGACATTAAACCGTCACATAGTACTTCAGAAAATAGGGTTGTTTACTAGGACATTAAACCATCACTTAGTACTTCAGAAAATAGGGGTTTCTACTAGGATATCTAAACGTCACATAGTACTTCAGAAAATAGAATTGTTTACTAGGATATTAAACCATCACTTAGTACTTCAGAAAATAGAATTGTTTACTAGGATATTAAACCGTCACATAGTACTTCAGAAAATAGAATTGTTTACTAGGATATTAAACCGTCACAAAGTACTTAAAAAATAGAGCTGTTGACTAGGACATTAAACCATCACTTAGTACTTCAGAAAATGGAGTTGTTTATTAGGACATTAAACCATCACTAAGTACTTCTGAAAAAGAGTTGTTTACTAGGACATTTAACCGTCACATAGTACTTCAAAAAATAGAGTTGTTTACTAGGATGGTACTTCAGATAATAGAGTTGTTTACTAGAACATTAAACCTCACATAGTACTTCAGAAAATAGAGTTGTTTACTAGGATGGTACTTCAGAAAATAGAGTTGTTTACTAGAACATTTAACCGACACTTAGTACTTCAGATTATAGAGTTGTTTACTAGGATGGTACTTCAGAAAATAGAGTTGTTTACTAGAACATTTAACCGTCACTTAGTATTTCAGAAAATAGCGGTTTTTACTAGGATATTTAACCCTCACATAGTACTTCAGAAAATAGGGGTTTTTACTAGGATATTTAACCCTCACATAGTACTTCAGAAAACAGAGCTGTTTACTAGGGCATTAAACCGTCAGTTAGTACTTCAGAAAATAGAGTTGTTTACTAGGATATTTAACCGTCACATAGTACTTCAGAAAGTAGAGTTGTTTACTAGGATATTTAACCGTCACATAGTACTTCAGAAAATAGAGTTGTTTACTAGGAAACAAGTATGTCGTTTACACTTAGTGCATTAATTCAGCATTATCTAATTAACACACTAGCATACTGAACGCGAATGCTATTTTATTTCCAACATTATTTCAAATACGTAAATTAGAATGTCTTGAATTTGTTACAAATCCAAAACTACCTTAGTATGTACATATATCTTAATGTCGTACACTTTATTGATAAAATCGTAACTTCAACCTCATTAACGATACATTTGGGTAAAGCGGTTTAACTTATGTCACCACCAGTACAACACTGGTGGATCTATACTCTGTTTTCCGAGAAACACAAACCGCTTGAATAGAGATCATCTAACCATCTAACCATGGGTCAAGACACTGCATTCCAAGATCTCTGAACTGTATGTGTGATTTACACTAGGTATATGTCATCAGACACTCTTGATCACTCGTGAAATGATAGGGATCAGTTGATGTTGTTATAATGGGCGTCTCTGCTTACATATATACCAAACAGAAAGACAAACTGCTTATGATGCACCTTCAAATGTGAAGGTGCGTTGTATTCTTATATCTTTTAAATCGGTCTGAAGGTTGTGTTGGTTTAACAGAAACAGATATTCAAGGACAGATTGACTCCGTCAACCTTGACGACAAAACAAAGACATTCGTTATTTTGAAAAAACTTTATTTTGAAATTGACAATTTCACTTAATGTTATAAGTCGTATGTAAATACCATAAAGACATTTATATCAAAGTTTTCTATTTAATTCTAAAACCTTGAGCTACCTGCCGCTCATTCCTTGTAACGCAGAAGTAGCATAGATTTAGCCACAACATATATATGAACGTCATTTCTAAACAGAGTTAATTGATATGAGGTGAATACACGACAAACTTACTTAGTTCACACCATCTGTAAATATTACTTTTATATTCGTGGAATCAAATAAAATAATATCTCTAATAGAAAAAATATATATTTTTGCATCCTTATGAAATCAAGAATGACTTCAGATATTAAATCAAAATACATGGGATGGCAATTTAAAATCGATTAGTCCAGCACCAAAACTTTAAAGAAATGGGGACATGATTATACGTAAAGGCGTGATGAAATGTACGTACTTGAGATAGTAAATTCCTGATAAAAACCCAGGAAAATCAAAATGATGTTATCACATCAGTATTTCATGATATCCAAGTCTATGAATAAAAGCTAAATTTATGCAATCACATTTGATGGGGATTTCAACAAGAAATCAAACTTAATCAAAAGGGTGTGGTGATAATACCACGTGTTTACATACACAGTGAAACAAGCAGAAAGACGGACGTATGAATAAAAACATTAATAACGGAATTAATAACAATGTTGTAAAAAAGATAGAAAAGTTAAAAAAAATACGTATACATTAAATACAGCACGTAACCTATATAAATTATGAATAAATTAAACAATAAAATGTCTTAAAAAACCGGAATACAATTAATTACACAGATGTTGAAAACAGGACGATGATTAATTACACAGGCATAAAAACAGGACGATGATGAATTATGCAGACGTGAAAACAGAATCATGATTAATTATACAAGCATGAAAACAGGACAATGATTATTTACACAGGTATGAAAACAGTACAATAAAATGTTTTAAAAACCGGAATACAATTAATTACACAGATGTCGAAAACAGGATCATGATTAATTACACAGGCATGAAAACAGGACGATGATTAATGACACAGGCATGAAAACAGGACGATGATTAATGACACAGGCATGAAAACAGGACAATGATTAATGACACAGGCATGAAAACAGGACAATGAATAATGACACAGGCATGAAAACAGGATCATGATTAATGACACAGGCATAAAAACAGGACCATGATTAATGACACAGGCATAAAAACAGGACAATGATTAATGACACAGGCATGAAAACAGGACAATGATTAATGACACAGGCATGAAAACAGGATCATGATTAATGACACAGGCATGAAAACAGGACCATGATTAATGACACAGGCATGAAAACAGGACCATGATTAATGACACAGGCATGAAAACAGGACCATGATTATTGGCACAGATGTTGAAAACAGGACAATAATTCATTATATATATGTGAAAACAGGACCATAATTAATTATATAGACGTGAAGAGCAGGACTATAATTAATGACACAGACGTCAAATGCATATCTTAATTAATGACAGGGGTAATCCATTTCAAAGATTTTTCTTTTTTTTTTTTCATTCCCGATTCAGTGGGTAAAAATAATTCGTTATGGACTCGGCCACTATCTTCATTTAACGGAAGACATTAAATAAAGTCGTGTTTACAAAGGTAAAAACATATGATGTTGTTATCAGTGTTCTTCAGATAACCTAGATAAAGGGATAGACATGTCAACAATTAGAAGCTGTTGTCAGAGTCATGCTGATTGCACCTTTAAATTCTGTTTATTGACGTCATCGCTTGCCTAATACTACCGTAGGTTTTTCTATTTCTTATGATAGTCTATTCTATAGAGTATCCAAAATGTTGACATGATCACCCGACGTTACTTTATAAAGGGCACGGCTAGTATTACCAAGGACATGTACGAAAATGACATGCAGATTCAGCAACGCTCTGCCTTTGTTATAGGTTCTTGGGTCGATGGAGCCTTTTCTTTGTTTTGTTGTGACGTCATTGCAATTGTATGACTTGCACTTCCGTTATCAATTATCACAAATAAGATGACAATGGACCACAACGTTCGAGACACTTTTACGTAAAATTAAGTATATATTTCTGTCTTCTTCGTTCTTGAATCAACAAATAATATCCTTAAAGAGAAATAAAATAAAAGTTGAAATTAGTAAAAGGTACACGTTAGAATCAACAATTAATCATATATCTAATCAGTATCTAAAACGAATTAATTACTACGAATCGTTATAGAGATATCATAAGGAACATTTTTAATGACACATTGGAACAAGATGAGTTGCATCATCATAGCATTTAAATTATGACGTCATAATTCTACGTCCAACATCGTTACGTCATAACAAAAACATTTGAGTTAAACACGATCATTTGAATGAAAATTTATGCTGATGAAATGTTAGGTTCATCAATAGTATCAGCAAGATAGTTGTATGTTATAACTTACAATACTTCTTACATATAAACTACACAGACTACAAGACAACTATTAGTGTATAAACTACCCAGACTACAAGACAACTATTAGTGTATAAACTACCCAGACTCCAAGACAACTATTAGTGTATAAACTATACTGACTACAAGACAACTATAAGTTTATAAACTACACAGACTACAAGACAACTACATGTGTATAAACTATACTGACTACAAGACAACTACATGTGTATAAACTATACTGACTACAAGACAACTATAAGTATATAAACTAGACAGACTACAAGACAACTATAAGTTTATAAACTACACAGACTACAAGACAACTATAAGTTTATAAACTACACAGACTACAAGACAACTATAAGTGTATAAACTACACAGACTACAAGACAACTACATGTGTATATACTACACAGACTACAAGACAACTATAAGTTTATAAACTACACAGACTACAAGACAACTACATGTGTATAAACAATACTGACTACAAGACAACTATAAGTATATAAACTACACAGACTACAAGACAACTATTAGTATATAAACTACCCAGACTACAAGACAACTATTAGTGTATAAACTAGACAGACTACAAGACAACTATACGGTTATACACAGACTACAAGACAACTACATGTGTATAAACTACACTGACTACAAGACAACTATAAGTTTATAAACTATACTGACTACAAGACAACTATAAGTATATAAACTAGACAGACTACAAGACAACTATAAGTATATAAACTACACAGACTACAAGACAACTATTAGTGTATAAACTACACAGACTACAAGACAACTATACGTTTATACACAGACTACAAGACAACTACGTGTGTATAAACTACACAGACTACAAGACAACTACATGTGTATAAACTACACAGACTACAAGACAACTATTAGTGTATAAACTACACAGACTACAAGACAACTATAAGTTTATAAACTACACAGACTACAAGACAACTATTAGTGTATAAACTACCCAGACTACAAGACAACTATAAGTGTATAAACTACACAGACTACAAGACAACTATAAGTATATAAACTACACAGACTACAAGACAACTATAAGTTTATAAACTACACAGACTACAAGACAACTACATGTGTATAAACTATACTGACTACAAGACAACTATAAGTATATAAACTACACTGACTACAAGATAACTATAAGTTTATACACAGACTACAAGACAACTATAAGTTTATAAACTACCCAGACTACAAGACAACTATAAGTTTATAAACTACCCAGACTACAAGACAACTACATGTGTATATACCAGACAGACTACAAGACAACTATAAGTTTATAAACTACACAGACTACAAGACAACTATTAGTGTATAAACTACACAGACTACAAGACAACTACATGTGTATAAACTACACAGACTACAAGACAACTATTAGTGTATAAACTACACAGACTACAAGACAACTATAAGTTTATAAACTACACAGACTACAAGACAACTATAAGTTGATACACAGACTACAAGACAACTATTAGTGTATAAATTACACAGATTACAAAAGAACTATACGTTTATAATCTACACAGACTGCAAGACAACTATAAGTTGATACACAGACTACAAGACAACTATAAGTTTATACACAGACTACAAGACAACTATACGTTTATACACAGACTACAAGACAACTATAAGTATATAAACGACACAGACTACAAGATAACTATAAGTTTATACACAGACTACAAGACAACTATAAGTATATAAACTACACTGACTACAAGACAACTATAAGTATATAAACTACACTGACTACAAGACAACTATAAGTATATACACTAGACAGACTACAAGACAAACACACGTGTATAAACTACACCGACTACAAGACAATTGATTGATGTTGACATTGATGTACAAACAAGATAGGCTACAAGACATTCTATATGTTGTTTGTTAATGAATTGTAACATATTCCATCAGTTGATACCTCAGATTAACATTATCGAAAGTCTTATTCGTTACGTCGTCTAAGTGTATCTACACTGATTAACATCGGATGCTTTAGACAGGCACTCTATACCTACATGATGAGAACAGAGGCTATCCCATTATAACCTGCGAATAGAAGGAATGTGAAGCCTCGGAACCAATCAACCGTTGCTGCGTAGACAGCGTTGCCTGTCACGCTTCCGACAACACCACAGACTGTTTCAACCGCTGCCACTCCCGCAAACAAGGACCCTATGTATAACAGAGAAAAGATGTTTGGGTCACGTGACTTAAGAGTCCCGTCTTGTTAACAAGGTGTCATGTAACTAATCATATATCCCGTTTACTTTGTCTCGTGTCACCGACTGTTCATGACATGTTTGGTTGGTAACGTGTCACTGACGGTACGTGTCATGTTTGGTTGATCTCGTTTCACTGACCGTTCATGACATGTTAAGTTGGTCTCGCGTCACTGACGGTACGTGTCATGTTAAGTTGGTCTCGTGTCACTGACGGTACGTGTCATGTTAAGTTGGTCTCGTGTCACTGACGGTACATGTCATGTTAAGTTGGTCTCGTGTCACTGACGGTACATGTCATGTTGTTATGGAGGTGCCATGTGACTTTTCAATTTGGGTATATGTGGTATCACATTACTTATAGTACGTGCCTCACTGTTCAAGTACTTTCATGCAACCTATATAGATTAATATTAAGGTGGTGTAATGTGACTGACGGTACTTGTCTTGTTGTTCTTATGGTGTCACGTGACCTACAGTACATGTGTCATGTGACTTTGGGTAGTGTCATGTGACTGACGGTACTTGCCTTGTTGTTCAGGAGGTGTCATATGTGACATGATTGCTCTGATGATTGGCACGGGTAAAGAACCCATAAAACTGATGAAAGCAACTGCAACGTAAGGATTAAACAAAATATAAAAAAAATTGAAATGGATGTATAAATAGCTTTTCATAACAATGAATACTTCCCTTTTTTATCTAACACGTTTTAACACTTGCTATGATTTATCTGGATTAAATTTTTAACCATAAATATCTTCTATATTTACTAAAAAAACTTCCGTCTGTTGGAATATGAATTATACACGAACAATACAACAGAACGTTTCCAATTTTACAGCAGGAGAAGACTACCTATTAACATCATGAGCTCGGTTGTCGCCAGCGCCTCTAGAACATATCCAGATATATAGGACATTGTTCCCAGGATACCGATCACGTGTTCATCCATACATGCCTGGAACGTTTTGATGAGTGCCATGCCAACGACAAGAGGCAGTCCCAACCGGAGAGTTGTGTACCAGCCCACTTTTACATGCGACCAACAGAATGGAGAGTTCAGTTGATACAAGGTTTCAATACCAATCTTTCCGAAATTAGCGAGAAAAATAAAGAACAACCCCACTAAACACGTCCAGAATTTCCACCGTTTACCAACAGAAGATGTATCTTTAGTGTAAAACAGAAAAATATTTTTTAATGTCTGTATCACACTGTGGCGTCGTGATCTGTCTTTTCTAAAAGTTTCAGGAAATATGAGAGCAAATATAACAGCAATACTCGCAACAGAAGCGCTGATCGCCATGGCGGTGTAATAACCGACGCCGTCGATGAGGTAGCCAGATACAGCAGATCCAACTAGGGCGCCCATACCAACTGCTATCTCTATCAGCACTATACCAAAGGCTCTCGGCTTTCCTGCCAGAGTGATGTCTGCCACGGACGCGAATCCGATTGAAAGAGCGGCAATCCAGCCACCAGTGGACCCACCAACAAACTGGAAGGCAAGCAAGGCATATATGTTCCATTTAAGGTATACACCAACCGCAAGCATTCCTGTTGCGATAAAATTCCCAGCGACATTTATAAATAAAAACAATTTCCGTCCATATCTATCACTCATCGCTGCAAAGATGAGGTTAGAAAATATTGCTGGAATTCCAGAGCTAAGCGAGACGTAAATAATATAGGATGAAGTACTGCGTTGGACCACCTGTTGATCTTGATACTCCTGGGAACTTTTGTTTTCATAACAAATGTTTTCATCATCACTTTTGTTGAATAGTTTACCTGGAAATTTTTCTTCTTCAATGACGTCGTAAACATATTGTGTGATGATCAAAGAGTTCGTAGCAAAGCAAAAGACCATGATAAACACTATTGGTCCTAGAAGGTAGAATCTCAGCGGGACCTTGACCGAGACACCTGTCCTGTCTGCTGTTTTAGACTGAGGCAGAAGTGCAGATGTCTCGTCGGTAATTTCACAAGACTCAAATCGGTTAGCTTTCACTTCAGCTTTTACGACAGGATAGGGCGATCCTTTGGTCGGCTGTTGATGTTTGTTGGGAAGGTCTGGTGTCTCCATTTTGTTTTAAAGGTTGTCCGTCATCCTTATTTATCAAGCATTTCGTTCGGTCATTATCTTCTCTCACAGAATTCCTCCCTTTCTTTTTATTTTGCTTGCTATTTCATTCAGAAAACTCACAAACATGCTGAAAACAACAAAGGAATGCGTCACTAATTCGTTCGGTAAAGTTGAAATAACTCGATTTTGTTGCATTTAATGACACTGGTGAATTATCATATTTTACATTGTATAACGTTAACATTACTATGAATCAGAATCATACTCTGTGTTTGGTAATATTAGGACAGGAACCCATCACAATTAGAATTAGAATTACTTACAGGGAATTCGGTTCAAGACTTATTGATGCAAGATATTATTACCGATGTGTAAATCTTAATTCATCGACAAAATAAATCACTTTTCCAATATGAACAATACATAAACTTAATATGTTGAAATGTACTATAATTATTTGCACTTTCCAAACAGAGAAATAGATTTGTTAAAATCAACATGTAAGGTAGACACTGACATCCCCGGTTATACAGCTCAACAACATTTCGTAACCTGTCAACGTTAACATCATGAATAATTTGAGATTGCATGAGTGCACTTGCGTGTGTAGCAAAGATTTATTCAATACTGTATCCGTTGTATAGAGTAATATCTACATCAGGTAATGTGATATATAAATAGATAAATAAATAATAAATAAATAAAATAAAAAATAGGGGTAAATATGATGATGATGAGGAGGAGGAGGAGGAGGAGGAGGAGGGAGGGAGGAGGATGATTTTGACAAAACATAAACATCTATGAAAACACAACCTTACATTAAACCAGATGTCAGTTTTACAACAGGAAAGATCATGAATTGTAGTGAAGACATTTACTGAATGCAGAACATACCGTCTTTAAAACTGTTCTTTAATCATTGAAAGAGTGAAGGGTTCTACTGACAAAGATTGTCAAACTTTGGAAAAGGCGCAATATTCTTCACAGCCTGTTGTTTTATGTACCTTTATTTAAAAGGGCTAATCAGGAAGGGGTAATTTAATTAATGAATAAAATTCCATAACAAGGGCATACAGTCCAAGATGGACCAGTGATTCCTAGGGGTCCAATAACGAATGATAGGTATACTCTACTGAAAAAATCCTAAGGTTTGACAAAGATAAAGGAGAATGTGAAGTTGGTCTTAGGGTCATATAGCCAAACGTTTGTTAGATATTCGCTATAGGTAAGGTACAATACATACAAAGACTATTGTAACACATTGATAGGTAGAGATATTTCAGTGTAAATCCCTCTTGAGCTAGGAAACTATGATGTGCAGAGAAGCGTAATGACTGGGACATCACCACTGGATTTTCCTACTTGTACTGTTCTACGGGCCTTTTATATAAAACCCCAGTCCTTTTACGGTGAACACAGAAAAGTACAGACCTCTCGAGTTTCAGACGGAATAAGAACGAAATCGATGACTGCCTGTTTTTGGCACCGATATAAACTTCATCACGAACAAAAAAAGTCAAGAAATCTTACGATAATCCTTCTACCAACCGATCAGAAATAAGTGTAAACATGGTGTTAGCACACGAGATAAGAAAGAAAAGCTATATTTTCATTAGATCAAGGAAATAGCATTTCAAACTTCAAGGAAGTGTGCAAGTACAGTACAAAGCTGGTCGTGTGAATTACAAAGTGGCATATGGACAGCCGAGCTGACCGTGTTTAACTTTAAGCACTTACCCGGCATAGATCTACATCCATTCGTCACCCAGTCTCGCCTGATAAACTTGCACACTTACCCATGCATACCCAAACAAACATGTCCCAGATTATGCCCTACGTCACACACACATGTAGTTTGTTCCTCTATCAGTCTATCAGGGCGTTTTAAGAGAAAAGTATGTTTGTGTTCACTGGGTGATACAGAAATACAATTATTTCTGACGCCATGGCATAAAATGAAATTTTTGGTTCTCGTGATGGATTCAAATTTAAAGTATTATCAGAAAGCACGTTTGAAAACATTTTATGTAAATCTCTAATTTCATTCAAAATTCATCATGGACATATTTTCCCGTTCTTTTCCAAAACGTCGATTGCATATGTATTATCATAGGCTATATATAGAGACATGTGTTAGGAAACGACACAACTATGGCTAAGACCAAGTATGCTAAAATGAAATAATCAGATTGCTGATTGGCAATATTTTAAGATTTAAACGGAAATAACTGCAACCTTCATTATAGACTTTTGGCTAAAACCAAGGTGAAAAAGTGGTACTCTCTTGATGGGCTTGTTTTTTTCTTCCTCATGAAGCTGAATTTATCGAATAGATAAACAAAACAAAAAAAACCAAAAAAAAAAAAAAAACAAACAAACAAACAAACAAAAAACCCGAGAGATCAAACGGACATTAATCCCTCACCTGATGTGTATCTTTCGTGGATTGTTAAGTAGATTTCTGCAAACTTGAAAACCCATTTCCCAAGCATGCTACTTATTCAAGGAAATGGGTTTAATTCCTGTTGCGTTGAAAGTCAGACAAGATCGATCATTGGAACACATTTGTTTGTTCTTCATTCAGGCTTACCTTCAATACCTTGATATTCTACATTTTGACATTTGACCCCATGACCTTAAAAGGTCAATTTCATTCCATTGAACAATTTTGGTAGCCCTTCATCCCAGCATGTTTAATTTCTATTAGTTATCTTTAATTGTTCCATACACAAAGTATTGAAATATATAACTTCTACTCTAGCACTAGCTCGATGCCTGTACAAAGTTTTCAGTACTGCGTAATTACCTTGAACGGTTTAAGAGAACTGGTCTGAAAACAAATGAACTTTGTGATTTGGTCTATCTGTTTACATGGTAACAGAAAAAGTACTTGAACAAAGAGCTTCCCAATAGTAAAGGATACTACTAGCTTAATAATTGTAAAAATTTTGAGTAATTATCTTGAATTGTTTCAGAGCACTGGTCCAGAAAAACTGAAATTTGTGATAAGGGTTATTTGTTTTCATGGTTACTGAAACTATTCTTAACTAAGACACTAACCTAATATATACAGAAAGTTTTGTGGAGTTGACTGGAATGGTTTAGAAGCAGTAGCTCTGAAAGGTAGACTTAGTCTGTGGAGTTGAGTGTAATGGTTTTGAAGTTGTAACCTGGAAAGGAAAGTAAATACTAATGTTGCATTTTGTAGCAAAAGGCACAATTAAGGCACTTACGGACAGAGGCCAAATTATCATCCCCCACAAATGCGTTTAAGGGCGGGGGGTTCATAATAAAAAAAGATGCGACTCAATTAAATGGCACTATCAGTCTAACAGCACATGGTTTCAAATAATTTTTGCCATTTCCAGTTTTTGACAGCATCATTTTGTCCCTAAAGAAAGTGAGCATGTTTTCTTTGTGAAAACAAAATGCTGTTTTTGCAATAAAAGAAAATTGTATAAAATTACATCATTACTAAGCAGGGGACCAAAATCATTCATTTGTGAAGTTCTGTGTTAAAAGAAGAGCTCCACAAGATTTTCTGCTACTAATTTATATCTTTGCTTGCTTTTCATTAAAAAATCAAACTGGCACCAGCACCTTAGATTCTCAATGCTTAGAATTCACCCGATTTATCATCGTTACCGGTATATTATAGCTGTCACAAGTATAGATGGAAATAGCTGTAAGAATAAAGTCATGGGTTATATATATATTTGGGGTCTATTGTTTTTTTTATCTAAAGTTGAACAGAGCTATGAAATGTACAAATAGATATATATATATAGACTAATATATTCTATGTTCCATAAGGACATCTATTCTTTTCAGTCATACCACGGACATTTTACAATATTGCAGGTAATTCTATCTATTGAATTACATAAATATTTCTTGCAAGGAAAACTGCCTCTTGGACTATCTATGATCCATTGATCATAGACATATGTATAAGTCCTTTTTCATCAATACATAAATCTACTTCTCCAGCACATAGATGGAAAGCTGTCCCTAAAACATCGTATTGATTTATCAACTTACAAATACATCGGCTGAATTCAGATTTGTATCTTTAATTCCTAGTGTTTTTTTGAGACTGAAAGAAGCTTAATGTATTAGCTAGGGTGTTATGTTTACCAGTGTCTGTAGTAATATCTGCAAAATAACTCGGGCGAATAAATGAGTAATAATTTCAATCATCATGCCATATGATTTAAGTCAAAAAGCCACATGTCACCAGCGCTTGCTTTATCTATTTTAAGAAGTAGACCATCACTGTCACCGTACACAGGCTTGCTTTAATGCCAGCTTCCTGAAAAACATATACCCCTGAAAATGGATCATCAAACTACATGCCTCGGATCTTCACCTAAGGTCTGAATACAACATACATCTTTTTGTACACCAACAGACCTTCAGTATTAAGACATGTTTCTTAATCATTTATATGACATAAAACAGGAACTGAAAACTCAACAGACAATGGAATTACAATAACAATTTAATGACTCATGATTTCAAAGAAAACATTTTCAAGCTAAAGATACCACATACCAAATTGTTGAAATAAAGATTGACATGTATTTGTTTTTACAATCCATTGTTCTTGTATTCAATTTATTTTAACTAAACATTTCAGAAATAGCATGACCTATTTAAATAAACACAAAAAGTTATCTGTAAAATGTGTATTATATCACTAAACATACTGTCTTGCAATAAAGAGATTAAACCTGGCATGCTCGATTTCAATGTAATCCTGTTACTTTAAGCTCTTAATTAATCAGGTTTAATCAGAAGATTTCCCTTAGTTCAAGGCAAATACAACATAATAGTGACAATGAACCGATGGGTTTATTTACATGTTATGGTAAATGTGTGCTGTTTCAAGTAAATCAAAACATTAATCAGAGATCAGTTAAACAAATCTCTGCTACTAATATGATGTCTAAATGGAACTTAAAACATAAAAAAACACAGTAACCTGAGGAGTTAGTTCACATATGTTTTGTTGATTTGTGGAATAATTCCATTTGTTACTATAGCAGAAAGTGAATTCCATCCCTGATGGAGAACACACTTGTACATCCTCAAAATTTACCCACTTTACTCCTCTGGACACATCAACTGAACAGAAAACTACTAAGAACCCTCCAACAATCATTCCCTCCACAATAACTCCCTTGCAGGTGTCTTTCTCACAATGATGGCTGTTAATGAAAATGATAGGAGTCTGTGTTTGTTCATGATGATGATGCTTGCTTTCTAAGCATCACATAAATCTTCTCCTTCACCCAGTCTTTGTTGTGAGGTACATAAGTCCCAATTTCTTTGTTGTACCTGAAACAGACAAAACATCACCATTATCACTGTATATTTCATTTCAGACATAGGATTCAGTAACATAAACATTGTTGTTTTGATAACAAACTTATGGCAAAATATTTCAAACAGAATATTTTAATGACGTAATAAGTCACGTTAGAAAAGTATCCACATCCCATAGTTATAACGCATCATGAGTGGACAAGTTGGTCACATTGTGGAAAGAAAACAGAAAATAAAATAAGTGTTCGAGCACTATTACTGTTCGAGGACTGGGCAGGTTAGTCTACTTCAGTAACACAGGTCAATGTGTCCATAAACAATAAGAGAGATGATAAGTATAAATGGAAAGGTCCAGTGAAAACTTATTGTGTTTTATTATAGGCTTGATGTAAAGTTTAACATCCAAAAATGGGACTGTTTAATACTGTAAGTAAGAAGATATTCTCGCACATATCGTCAAGAAGCAGACGAATATTAAAATTATTACATTACATAGGCAGAAGAAGATGTGTGTTGTTGGGTTTTTTTGAAGTGAAAAGTCAGGTTGACTTGTCAAAGTATTCCCTATAGATACTGAATATCAGCATCCAATTACAATATCAGTTCTATGGGGAAATTTATTCCAAGAAGATTCTAAGGAAAGTCTGTAATTGTGCCTAAGCAAGCAGGACAGAATAAAAGTACAACTTAACACAAGGTGTAAACCCTGGTGGGAATGTTTGAGGATCTGTACTTACACAAGGCAGCTAAGGTCTGCCAGCTGGTCTAAGAAGTCAAACAACTGTGTGATGTCGTAGGTGATGGAGGGACAGTCAGAGTTGACCTTCTTCAAGTGCTCCTCAAATATTTTACAGATACCTGAAATGTCAATACAGGTTCATTACATGGGTGTCCAAATATAACAAAACTAAATAATTCTTGCCTACAGCATAGTGTCATATGAGTAAATTCAAACTTCCTGTATCATCAAAGTTCCAGACCGATATTATTTTGTTACTAGAATGATCATTGACTTTCATAAGAAACAAATTGACCAAAGTTGACACTTTTTTTTTTTATTGTATTCAGTAAATGTTTCATTAGGTGTGTTTTCTCTCATAACCAAAGCAGGGATATGTTTTCAGCAACTACCCAATTTCATTAGTTCAGGAATTATAAATTATTCAATAAAAATATGTGTTTGCTCATGGTGTCTGAAAGTTCATTACTAAGTACACGGATTCCATGGTCACATGCACTCAATTGGTGATAATCTACCTCAAGAAACTCAGGAGAGGAAGTTTGGTGAAAACCATTTTTGTAATTCCCTGGACAATCTCTGGTATCATATATGTACAACAGGACATGTAACACAGCATTTTGTAGGGGTATATCTGCCAAGACACAAAAAACTGTCACTTACCTTCCATGCATTCATTGATAGATTCGAAATCCGAATAGGTACGTGTCTCTGGTTTGTGTGTAGCCTGTACTAGAAGGATCGAGTGAGCCTGTATAACAAAAATTTGTAGTTTGTAAGTATACCAACTTCAGATACACAAAAATCCATGTTTTTATTCATACCCATTAATAACCTGTTTTGTTTTCAATTACCTAAAAAATTCTCATTTGTTTGGGATGTTTAACATTACAATTTCAAATTACAAGAATTTCGATTACAAAAAAACAATATTGTAGTAAATAAACTTGTTATTATAACTTCTACTAAACCTTAAACTTAACCAAACTTTGATTGTAGTATGTACTTGTTTTCTGATGAACAAAAGTATCTTTTTAATGTGAAAGAAATAACAATGAAGATCAACAATTTTTTATTAAGGGACTAACCAGGTCATACTACATATCTTATGTGTTCTGATAATTGGAAACCAGTTAAAACGTGCCTAAAAATGTCAACTTCTGTTAACGATTATCAGCTGCCAATAGTCGCCAGTCACATAGGGTGCAGCATTTGTGAAAATTTTCAGTGTCTATTTGTGTCTCGCTCAGATCTTTTGAATCTGTCTGTGAGTAGTACTCTTAAAAAACTGTACACTCCATACATACACTTTGCACAACTGTATCTGTAATGATATGTATAAAAACAACAACAAAAAGTTCCTCTTTCTTGTTAACAAGCATTTATTTCGTTTGACATATGAACAGCACAAATTTCAAATATAAAGCATTAATCGTCATAGTATACATCACATTTGATATTTCCATCTTTAGATAAAGAATAACTTCTGATGTAAAGAAAAAGAATAAACAGCAAATAATGCACAAATGGATTTTATAAGGAAAAGATTCATGCGAGACTTAATTCAATCAATAAGTATGAGTATAAATTAACATATACAAAAGCACTACACATTAATACTCTTCATAAGGCAAACAAAAAGATGATATCTGGCAATATCCAGATTACAACTTTTTAAAGAAACAGATAAAAGACATGGAATCAAGACATACATTTCATTTAGACCTTATCTCCTAGTAATACCCTCTCTTTGTCTTCTCCTGTAACCCAACCCCCCTACAACCTAATCCCTATAAATATCCTACCCTCTTTTTAATTTACCGTCCTGCTTCACTATTAATTCATCATTATGTCACCTGAAAGCTTTGTATCTTATGAAAATGATGAATATGGTCCTTATGTAGTTTTTCATAGCAGTAGTGCAATTTAAGTACATAGTTATCTATAATTATTTTTTCCGGTTGGTAACAGACCTGGAAGGAGAACATTGAAATAATGTCTTAATGTAATAAAACTTAAAAATTCAAAACACATGCTGATGGATAAAAAATGTGGTGCAGTTATCTATTTACAGGTATACTTTTCTTGTAGCTCTGCAGATAAGCTACACCAATTTAACTGTGAGACAAAAGCAAAAGTGTGCAGTCAGCCAACTTATCTGTCAAAACAATATTGAGACATTCTACACTTGTGATGGTTATCGAGACAGGCATATATACAAGTATAGACTAAGTGCACACTAGTCAAACATCAATAACAAATGCCATATGATTATACAAAATGTACTATTTAGATGCTTACAGCATAATAAGGAGTTATACTTAAACCAAACTCCCTGTATTTCAAAAATGGTAAAAAGATATTTACATAAATCTTAATTACTAAACTAAAACTTAAGGAAAACAAGAGTAATAATAATGGGTCTATATATCATCAATGTCTCGTTAAGTTGACATATCACCGTCATCATACTGTCTTCATGACTTCTACACTTTCAACAGTGTTATTAAGGCTGATATAATATATAGACATTTGTGATAAATACAGTTGGCCACATTTTTAGCTAGTTCATCAAACCCATTTAGGCATTATAAAATGTTTAATGCATGTACTTCTATACAGTTAGATGTAAGGAACACTGAAGGTATCCAAAATCCAATATTGTATTAAATTACATGTACCATTTTAACTTGTCACAACCTTAGATATCAATACCTACTCGTGATACCGACATTCAATAATTAGACATATAGAGATACATGAAAAGAAAAAAACAATGTGATCTATAGGTTTTTCATACCACAAAAAAACTTTTACCATTTTACCCTTGTATCAAGCAACCCTTACTTTTTCTTTCTACAGAGACCTGTGAGTTTCTAAATCGACCTGTAACATCTATTTTTAAACTGAGGGTTCTTCCTGCTGAAAAAAATTCTGATTTCTTTTAAATTATGTGAAATTGGCAAAAGAAAGTTATCCAAATTTCTGAAGTGCACAGTCACGTAAACTAAGATTTAAATTCACATTTCAACAATAAATGGGTAATAAATTTGACTCAAGTTTTAAAAATATCTTTAATTTTAACATTTAAGGAGCACCAATTTGATAAATAATGATCATTTCTTATACATAATATTCTATTGTTTAATATTCACCTTTTTCACCAGTCTAATGATCAGCAGTACCTTGGAGATTTTTCTTACAGAAAAGGATACAAAATAATTTTCCTTTCAAAACTTTCCATAGAATAGAAAGCTACAAGATTTTGGAGACTAGAATTCAGATCATGCAGTAAAAGAATACTGATCATGCTGTAAAGCTTCACCACACTTTTCCAATCTAGTTACCATAGAACATTTATATTTATACTCCATTTCCTACAGGATATTTCAAATCTTACAAGATCTCATTTAAGATGTGGAGTCTTCAGCGAAAAGAAGACATGCTAGATACTCTTCCAGAATAAGACATCTTGAAGTATGTTATTTTATAAGGTCTCTATTCCATCCTTATTTTGATGCAGATTCTAAAATATAACTACATGTCCAGTCCATCCTTATTTTGATGCTTGTCTCCTTAGCATGATATAGATCTTTTCCTTAACCCAATCTTTGTTGTGTGGAATATAGGACTTTGAGTGTTTCTGGAATCTGCAACATCAAATAATACTTCGACCATTAATGCATAGGAAATTCAAGGATTCAAAGATACAGGAATATTGAATGGTGTATTATAAAAGTTGAGATGAACAGTAACCTTAGTACATGTACACTATAACTATATATAAAATGTACATGGACAAGCTTTAGAATAGTGACAATCATATCACAGAGTGGTGCACACTGTTTTTTTTTAGTATATTACAATCTAAGGCAATAGCTAGTACATTTTGTTCTGTTATTGTCTGTTACATGTATTCTTAATAAAATTGTACTTTCCTCACATATATCACTCAATACTAGTTATAAAACCAAGGGATACATAATATACAGAAGTGTTAATGGTGAAGGAAGTACACAGACAGGTTTTCCTAATTACTCTTTAACATTACAATCTCAGTCATCAGATAGTAGTGATAATCATGTGTTCATACACTTGTGCTTTCATAGTAACTAATTAATCATAGCATTTCTGCTAGTGAAAGCATTTTTGCGAGTGATAGCATTTATATATCACTAAATAATAACTACATAAATCAGGTATAAATCAGAAAGTAATGACAATCAATCAATGATGATGTAAGAGTTGAAGCACAAGTGAAAACTTGCTAGAGATAACTAGTTATCAAAAAAATTCACAAAATCAAGATACGTTGTCTTCAAAAGCTGTAGATCTGATAACTCACACAACACAGCTGAGGTCATGTAACTGGTCCATGAAGTCAAATAATTGGCTGATGTCATATGTTATGGAGGGGCAGTCCGAATTGATCTTCTTCAAATGTTCTTCAAATATTTTACAAATACCTGTGAAGAAAATTCAACACATCACAAAATTGACATGTTTATAAAAACTATTATCAACAAAAATACATATTTTTTATGCAAGAACATCCTCATTAAGGCAATTTTACATAAATTTATTCTTCATACAATTTGGCAAATTATAGTTCCTCATTGGATGTGAAATTACATGCAAAATTTACTTTTTCTTAGACATAGGTCAAAGTTCCCAGTGAGGGACCAATACATATTACATCATCTAAAGTTTTAGATACAATGAAATATAGCCTCCCATTTTCAATCCATGCACAAGATATTGACAAGCCACATAACCAGTTTCCATCTGACAATTTCCCATAAAGAATATGGATATTTCAACAAATTGCAGTCTAGAAATCTAGACATTTTAATATCAAGTTTGCAATTTTACACATTTAGGTTTACGGTAGGATTTATTTCCTAATGATTCTTGTTCCACAATAATACAAGTATGTACCTTCCATACAGTCATTCACTGACTCATAATCAGAATATGTCCTTGTTTCTGGCTTGTGAGTTGCCTGCACAAGCAGAATGGTGTGCGCCTGAAATAAAAGCAACAAATCATATATCAAAATGAGTTCAAACAGAGAAACATAATGCATAAAATGTTACACTGCAATACCATTTATTTCATAAAAATAAAATTGAAATTATAATTGTTTCATACAAATGAATATGAGTTGAAATATATATTATGACAATGCCATCATAACCAGTACATTATATGCAGATATTTTCTTTAAGTAAGTTTGAAAATTGCATGGCATAATCATCATGACTAAGTACTTCGTATAAGAACATAAACTTAATATTCAAATGTCATCAAATTAAATTGTAATATGTAAATTTAATGTGTTTTAGTTTTATTACCATATCATGATCACCTTCATCTGCTTCAATAAATGCTTCTGATGCCTCACACAGCAATACAACTGTGAAATAATGCCACAGATCTGCACAATGCCACGAAACACTAAGAATACCGAAATTAAAGTTTTCGAGTGATACTGATAAATAGTACAATCCATTTAAACGCCACATTTTTTTAATGTTTCTCTGTTGACACTGTGTATACATGTATGATTTTTTCGGTGTTAAATTTTATTTATTATATATTGCATGGGTGCTATAATTACAAATAATGCAAAAAAATGATTTCTTTTTTGTTTTACTAATGAGGATTCATAACAGATAGAGAGCTGTAGCAACTCTGTATACGCACGCGTAACATTGATCATCTCACACGCTGGTGAAGCATCATCCAGCAATCTGCTCACTTCTCATGCAAATATATTCATGATCAGAGGCTGCAAAATGTGTATGAAAAATGCAACAGGAGATAGCTAGTAACTCGAACCATTCCAATCTGGTACTCATCTTAATGGTGTACATGTTCAAAAAAATGAATATTTAACCAATCAAGACAAAAGTAAGCTTATTTTCTGTTAACAATATATATTATTTCTGGTTTAAAGACATCAAAACACTCTCATTGGTTACAAATGGTTGAAAAGATGTCTTCTGAAAAAGTGGTAAATGTCTTTCATATATATAGGAGTTATGTTATGACTTCAATATGTTTCATTTTCATTTCATGAAATTGATGTTACTGAATGGGCTTCACACTCACTGGTCATGTACTCACCAGCTATAATGCCTCTGTATTGTCACCATTATGTTTGCCATAGACTATCATTTACATACAGGTTCTGGTCACAATTTAGTTAATATTCACCAATTACAATATATTTTGTTACTGCTAACATTACATCTTCTTGCATTCTCTTTCAAGCAGTCCACCAATCAGTTGTAAATAATGATGCAGTGCTTCATAATGAGATGGAGATGTTTTTTGTATTATTTTTTAACAAGTCTTTCCTATGACATCAAAGCAAACGCTCCCATTAAGCCTAAATGGTGGCGAGTCAGACGTTCTATAACATGCTGGTCATGAAATTGTGCAAAATATTGCTCGAGTTCTCTCCCTTATCGTTCAACACTGTTTAGGCCTCTAAAAGAAAAGTAAAATATCAACACGTACATTCATTGCAGGGACAAGTGGACAGATATGGGTAAAACATTTGGTCATTTTCAGGTACGGTCTTGCTTATATCATTGGTTAGTCCTTTGCGCGAGCTCGATATCGCCATCATTTGCGCACGAGTTCGCCATTTTGAGTGCGAGATGGAATGGTACAGGTAAAGGGTTGCTCTTTGCATGCAAACAAAGCCATAGCTACTCTTTCCGTTCAACAGCTAGCAGTCTTGAGAAAAGACGAAACATGTCTATTCACAAAATGGACATAAAATAAACGTTATTACGCTAATTTTACCATTTTCACTAAGGACGTCACTTCAGTTGTAAAAATTCTTGGTTGTAACTGCGGGATTACCTTCACAAAATTTTTTCGGATATCCTTAGTATTTACCATCGAATTCATAGATATTTATGAGATATTCCGAATGAATTTTTATTTTCCCTTATATTTTCTGATGTTGAAATTAATCATTTCCTAGGTGATAATTCGTGATTTTTAAGACCAATACACATTCTTTAAAAAAGATATTTTATTAGAGAAAAATGACCAAATAAATTAACGAAAATATTCGCTACATGGATAATCTGTATCAACGACAAGCTTGAAAATACTACTTACTCAAACATTTTACTAACCTTAACATTTGGGAGCCATGTAGGCAAAAAAACCTTGGAAAGCAGGCAACAAACACTCTTCGACGTTAGGACACTTGCTTAAATCCGACAATGGACGACGTATTTACTCTCATTTTGCTATCATTTGCCATGCTTGTAGGATGTTATCTTTCTGGTTTGATTCCAATTGTTATAACATTTTCAGAGGTAAGCCAGCTGTGTGGTCGGTGATTGAATGTACAAGTTTTACGTCTTCTATTATGGTCTTTCAACAGGCGAAACTGACTTTGGAAGTGTATGTGATAAATAACTAACATATGGTCAAAAGGTCTGAGATTTTAGGCTGGCTGGAATACATTTAGGCTCTCCCCTCCCTAGTTTGATATAACTTGTACCATTGACAGTGAGTTCCGTGGTATGTGTTCAAATCACTTGCTTAAATATTTATTTTGTTGTAAAATCTGTTAACGGGCTCGGGAAGAAAGTGTGATTGTGGGTTGAGAATACACATAAATATACCCCTTCTCAAGTATAGTGTGAAGAATTATAACTGTCTATCCATCCATGATTTCGTTTGCATGACCAATTTCACCGCATCCATGGTGGGTGCGCTTCTGTCACTTTCATGTCCATACAATCTCTAAAACGAGACTATTTGATAAAAAATGTTGCTATCAAAATCAACAAAATAAATGTGAAGAATGACATTAAATTATGATTTTAGAGACAGAAATTTTCTGTCTCAAATCTGATAGCCTATCCTGTATAGTAACATTATTTTGTTAAAGAGTAAATTGAAAAAAGATATCCCTAGTCTGGTACCAAGAATCTATGATTTTACATGACTGATTGGAAAAAATAGATTTGTAGATGATGTTCTTGTCTTCTTTGACCTTTTGAACTTTACAGACTGATTGGATGAAATTGAACAAGTTAAGTATCAGCATACTATATATATATATGTCTCGGAACAAAAAGTCTTGGTACCAGTTAAGTTAACTAGATCTGATTTGATTTGTAGCTCCATTGATTGTCATCAAAAAAGGACAGATATATCATAGCCTACTGATCCCATGTCTGTAAACTGCAATAAATGTAATCTAAAATTAAACCAATAATTATTATATAGCTTTCTTCTGTATGTCTTCTCTTCTGCCATTAAGCATCCTAAAGGTACACACAGGATAAAAACAACATTTTACATATATACAAATTACTGTGTAGCAGAAAACTTCGATAAGAAGTGATAATGTCCAGAAGATTGTACATTTTCCCTATCACATCAAAATTATTAAACGTTGATAAATAAATATCTATAGATTTATTTGGAGTCATTAAACCAATTAAACAGTTACAGAAACAAAAAGGAGAAATTGTTGTTAGTCAAAGAAAGTTGTCGTTTCACAAGTGTCAAATGTGTGGACTTTTTATATTGGCATTCACTGTTTTCGAACAAAACAGTTCATTGTTGAAATGCTATCTGTCTGTCAGCTGTGTCCCACCTACACCTTCATCTTCATGACACTTTCCTACATAGAGGACAAACCCACTTAAATTTACAAATTAGTGTCAGGAAGAAAGATGTTCATGGATATACAAACACCTATTATTAAATTTGTTAATAATATTTTGTTAGGTCTAGTAAAAATGGCATGATTGCACTAGATTTCAAAATTGTTATCCATTTTTTATCCTGTTCTCTATTTAACTGAATCTTTTATTATCAAATTCTTCATGAGGTGGTCATTTTTACCTATATTTCATACAAATAGGACAAATGGGTACACACAGTGATATTTGAATTCTGTGGATTGTGAAAAAATCTTTGGTAACCACACGTGTAAGTTTTGCCTTAATTCAGTTAGTGGGAAAATTTGACTTCTTATCTAAGGTTTGATAACAAAATAAGCAAGTGAGCAATATATGCTTGATATACGCATACCTCTTGTTTTATGGTGTAACAATGACATAATAGATTTGTGTCAAGGTTTTTCTAGCAATAGATAGGGTAACTACTTGAACTTTATGAAGCTGATGAAAAATTATCAGTAAGTGTCTACAGCAAAGAAACTGCTGAACTCTACATTATAGTTGCAGAATTGAAATATAGCTTGATGTGTTACAAATTATAAGCTTATTTTCCCATCCTAAATGGAATGTATGTAGTATTGTTATTTATTGAAAAATATTGTTTGAACTATGTTAGTTACAAATCACTGAAGCGTGTGAGTGATATAATTATATAATGCCATAATTGTTGTTCAGTGACTAAGGCTGATGAATAATGACTATGCCACTAACTCATAATGACTGTTCCATGTCAATGCTGCTTTGCATATTAATTGGAAATGTACAAATGATATTGGTTATCTGCTGAAACATATTCATGTCTTGATTTTCCTTTTAGAACTGAAGCATTTCATCAGAAATTATATCAGCCCACCACAAAGTTGTAAGTCAAGGAATGAAATATAATCACTAGGACTATAGAGAGAAAAAGCATCCTACATCCTAATCATTGGTATTTTGTAGGAGAAGTTGAAGTTAATCACAGTATTTGGAGCAGGTCTCTTGGTGGGGACCGCGCTTGCTGTCATCATTCCTGAAGGAATCCATGCCATGAGTGAATCAAGCACTGGTAATATATTTTACAAAGAGCCATAGAGTGAAGTATTTTTTCCAATCTAGTGCTGATAATATACACAACACACCAAAAACATTGTGCATACATCATGCTGATATTATGAGTACATCGTCTTCACTCATGTATGATACAGTACCTAGTCCACAACTGTGAGATAGGATTGCGCATTTGGTGAGGTTTGGTTAAAATGGATGATTCATATTATGGATTGAAAATTAAATGGAAAACTTGTATAATCATGGCTAAACAATGACCATAGTTGTATTCATTATTGATAGATGATTATAAAGGTCATAATGAAAATTTTCATGGGGAGTCTATAGTTGCCATTTTGTCCCTCCATCTTTCCATCCCTCCTTTCATGTCCTTAGCATGACTTTCTCAATGGTTAAGCAGGGATGATGAATCTTGGTGAATACATTTGTCATACTATGGCAATGTGCAGTATGCCAAATTCAGAACCTTTAAAACCTCAAACACGGAGATATTCGCCTCTTAAAATTTTGTGTCCAGAGCATAGCTTTGCTTACATTTAAACTAGGATAATGTAACTTGATGTAAACATTGATTAACAAAGACAATGTGCATTGTACAATATTAGGGCAGACAACTCCTTAATGACAGAACTAATACCCTTTGTAAAAATTAAGTGTCTTTAGCATAACTCATCATTAAAATAGGATGATGTAATTTGGAGTATAAAACACTTAATTTGCAGCCTACAGCCCCTTAATTACTGAGTTATTGCCCTTTGTTAAACTTTTTGTGTCCATACTGTAGCTTTGTTTTCATTAATACTGGGAACATGAAACCTTTGTATACATTGGTCATACTAAGAGGATGTCAAGTATACCAAATGCAGTGTCTGAAACCCCTTAATTACATAATTATTACCCTTTCATAAATTTGTTGTGTCCAATAACATTATTTTCGGGGAGCATTTATCATTTTCACTGATTCTCGTGTTAATTTGGCAGTTATCAAAATACAAGGAGACTCTGCATTTATAAGTCTCAACAATTTGATTTCAGAATTCTTCTTCTCAACATCCAGATATGGTAGAATCAAATACTTTTCATGGATGGAAGCATCTTAACGTGCTTTACCAAAATTGTGAATTTCATGGCCCCAGGGTCTCACATTTCTCTGTGGGGAGGAAGTAAATAGATTTTTGAGCATAATTTGTATAATTTCCACCTGAAATATTTCTAACTTGTTTAGAATTATGAGCAAAGGATGGCAGCTAGATGGTATGTATCTGACTGACCCCTAGGGGCTGAAGGCTGGGGCCAAAGGGGGTAAAATTAACTGTAGATTTTAAAAAAATCTTCTTCGCAAGACACAGGTATGGTAGAAGCAAATGTTCTTCATGTATTGAAGCATCTTAAGATTCTTTTAATTACTAAAATGGGTCTCATATTTTTTTCTTGGAGTGGAGGTTGACTTCACGATGATTTTTATAGAGAAATTGCATTTTTTAGCATCATTTTGTTTATTTCCCACTGGAAATGACTTAGCAAGAATTATTATATAGGATGACAGTTTTGATGGTATGCAGGAATTGACACTGGTTAACTATCATCAGTGTCACAATTGTCACAAATGTCATGACACTTGAAAGCTACTTTACCTTTAACCTTTATAATCAATATTGCTTATCTCAGGAGACCATCAAGGCTGCTAAGCCTCTTGTTGTGATATTACACTGATTCTGTACCCTGGGATATATTTCGTCCCAGATTATTTTCGCCATTTTACGATTATACATGAATTCCCCTCATGTTCCCTTAACCCTCTGAGGATGATATATTAGGGTTACAGTATATAAGTGCAACAAATTTTTGTACTCATCTTAAATTCACCCTCCCTGTTATTGGATGAAAAGGGCGGAAAATAAATGGGGCAGAAATTGCTGGGTATACAGTATATGATATGTCCTGATCATGAAATGTATATTGTCAATCCATTTTTTATAAATGATCATTAGTCAATCATCAATTGCTTCGCTAGAATTTGTGATTTAGTGCCATAAATGTCCTGTATAGCTTCCCTATAAAACTTCCTCTCACTCATCAAAGTAATTGTTGTGTTGTGTTATTTGTCTTTACAGATACCCAGAGTCATGACACAGTACACAGCGACTTACCAAACAAAGACCAAGGTTTGAACACCGTGGATGGCCACACCCACACCCACACCCATAGTGTCTCTGACAACCACACCATCATTGGGGTGACACTAGTGGCAGGATTCATCTTCATGCTTCTTGTTGACCAGATTGGAGGTGGACATGCACATGGGTCTACAGGTGCGTACATGGTTATGGATTTGAGAAATTAGGTAGACATAAAGAAAAAGATATATATGAAAGTTGACAACAAGAAGCAGGAGTAAGAAAAAACGAAAGTGATCAGCTGTTTAATTTACCTTTGCTTTAAAATTTGCCTGGGCACAGAAGTGAGTGAACTGGTGGCCCTCTTTGTACTAAGAGACAAAACCAGTTGCAGAAATATCCATTAGTATTAATGACAATATCTTCCAATGTTACTATATGTACCTACCTGAGTGATGAACTATGAGGATTCTCGATTTTCTGTGTGTATACACCAGGTTTTACATTTTGCATCAGTTCTCCTTTTTCTGTGTATATATACCAGGTATTAAAACTCGTTTTGGTTTTCCATTTGGACAGTCTCTGTTATGATTTTGTACTTGAAGTTTAGTTTGTTTAGTTTGTAAATTGCCTGTTAATTACTATTTTCAGATGCTGAATCAAATGGAGCTGGATCAACCATCCAACAAAATCGACACAAAATCACAGCCACACTGGGTTTGGTAGTACATGCTGCTGGTAAGCCCCTTGTTAATTCAGCTGTAAACATAGTGACAGTAAGCACATTCTTTTTCTGACATTTATCTACAATGATGTGACAGAGAATCTCACCGTCTCTCCTTACTGGATAGGACAAAGATAAACCTGTACATTACCTGCGATGCTAGAAGTAACTTGAATACCAGAAGGTTAAGAGGTGTGCAGATTTAGTGGTAAATGTTGGTAAACTAAGTAAATGTTAATTTTAGGTCTCCAGAGAAACTCTTATTTACCATTGTTATTTTAGGTTACATGAATGACTGTAGGTTACCATACTTACTATATGTAGATCTATATAGTTATCACAGGTTACCATAGATATTACAGTTTACATAATTACTGTAGATAATCAGAAGGTTATCATAGTTGTCATAGATTACTATAATATTATGATAGGCTACCATAGTGGCTGTAGGTTACCTGAATTACTGTAGGTTACCATAGTTACTGTAGATTACTGTAGCTGGTATAATCATCTTAATTATTTCAAATTGCCAACGTTTATTATGAGTCACATGAATTACTGTTCAGTAGGTTACCAAATCTAGTTTAGGTTACTTGATGAAGTCAAGTCTACTGAATTGATTTCATTCACATGAATATCTTTTGTTACTGTAGGTCATCAGAGTTAAGTTAGCTCTCCTGATTTAGTTTATGTCGTGTGGGTTGATAAGGTCTCCTGAGCTATTGTAGACCAACCAAATTAATTAAGGCCATGTCCTATATGAACCTCAACCATTGACATAATATAATTTCAGCATTTTGAATTGTGCTTCAATTTGGATTTGAAGTCATGTGTTTCTTACTGATAAGTACATACATCATTGTTGTAATTGTAGCTGATGGTGTTGCTATGGGAGCAGCAATTATGATGCAGCGATCACACTTAACTCTAATCGTGTTTATAGCTATCATGTTACATAAGGTAAGTGTGTATAGCTTCCTGTTGTAGACTCTATATATATGTGTATAGGTATGGTGCTGATGTTGATCTGTTTTAAATGACAGTAACCATGTAACTGATACCTATAATTAGTAATTGGTCGTATATATCATCAAACATAAGTACCTGTGTTTTCTTATAATTGTTAATTAGTAACTGTGTAATTATAGCGGTTTCTTATGAACCTGTTATTTTTCAATTGTGGTGTTACATAATGGTTTTTCAGGCATCCATTAATTAGAACTCTATTATAACATGTTTTTCAGGCACCTGTTAATTAGGAATTCTATCATAACATGTTTTATAGACACCTGTTAATTAGGAACTCTGTGGTGACATATTTTCAGAAACCCTAAAGAAAAATAAACATATTTTGCAGATACCATTCAATTAGGAACCCTATGATAACTTGTTTTGCAGGCACCTGCTGCTTTTGGTTTGGTTACCTTCTTATTACACGATGGTTTTGATCGACCCAGGATACGAAGACATTTGTTAATATTTTCAGCGTCTGCTCCAATAGCCTGTATTTTTACTTATATAGGATTATCTCTTAGCCAGGTAAGATAGAATTATCTGACTATTCAACCATTAAAAGTTAAGCTGTCTGTCACTCAAGATTCTACAATTATCTAAACAATCACTCTCCATACAATAGACCTTGATTGGAGGAAATGTTACCTAGAATTATCTAAACATGTAACCCTCATATAGTCCTAGCTGTTCACTATAAAAGATGCATTGATATCAACCAAATTAATTTGTATTTAAATTGCAGGTTGATTTTTTATATTTTTTTACAAAGTATTTGTACAATCTGATGACTTTAGGTGTTAGAGTCCTTTCGTCACTGTTAATGTTTCATTTTGTTTCTGTTTGTAGGGAAGTTTAGGAAAACTTCATGACTTTCAAACCACAGGCATTGCCATGTTATTTAGTGCTGGGACATTTTTGTATGTGGCAACAGTACATGTTCTTCCAGAAGTGACCACTCGTCATACAAAACAGACCAATTCTGACAACACAGTGATCATTCATGAACAGAAGGGATTCCGGCCGATTGACCTAGTGGCCATAGTGACTGGTTCTGTAATACCGGTATTGTTATCATTTGGCCATAAACATTAAAGCATCACTACCAGCACCCTCAAATTATTTTTGTGGTCCTGTTTTAACATGCTAAATGCTCCATTTGAAAGCCTGGTGATATTGTTACTAAGCTCTTCACTTCACATTTGAAGTGGTGAGTTTAAGAGAAGCACTAAGGGAATGAAGTTCAATATATATATTGGTTGATGTGTAGAATGTGGTCTGGAATGTCTAGAAAAAAGGAAAGTTTAGTCTACTAACAGGTGACATCAGGTAGTTTCTGAAAATATTTTGCACCTAAGGAAACTTAAAACAGTCAATGATGCAATAGCTTTTCAACGACATCAGCTGTGGTCATTTTTATTGTTGATACTTTAAAGGTGTGTCAGAAATATTTACATATGGATCTAAAATAATAACAGCTTGGATAGAATGTTGATATGTACACTCCTTTAAAATTGCAATATCACTATTTTTAGTTGCCAAATGATATACTTTTTTGTGACAACAATTTGGATTATTTTAGGAAGTTGTTAGTTATTTAGAATGAGGTGGAGTAAAATAGAGGACCAATGTGTGAATGTCTGTCTTATAATTAGGAGGTAATGGTGCAGAATTACTATTTGTAAAGAATTTTAAATGTCTAGTCTTACATTTCTCTTGATTCATTAGATTTCAATGCTGAGAAAACCTTTTGTTTCAACAGGAATGGTTTATAATGAATTTTGAATTACATTAAAAGCTTGTCACTGCTCATTTAATGAAACAGACAAACTTTCAATTTTCCCTCATATAGAGGCATTGCTCTCAGACGTCCTGTTTTTTAACTGTATTGACCAATGGAGTGGCCAGCTTGAATAGGATAATACTTTCCTGGAACCAGTGATTTATTTAAACAGTATAGACGTGTATCAAAAACAAAGGTTACATTCACAAAACAAGGAGTGTGCCAAAATGTGGGAGAGTAGTGACAAATCATTATGGGATTCAAATGCTAAATAATGTGTCTAATTTTGCACATTATTTTGTGGGTTTGTCAAGGTCGAGTATATAAGGATTTCCTTCATAAGTTTTATAATTAGGCATTTTTTGTAACTCAGTGGAATATAGTTTTCATTTAGGGAAAAATTTTCATTGGTATTTTGTTTTGTTCTATCTGAAAATCAATGTTTTCTTCAGTGACAATCATATTTAAGAAGGAATGTGAGAAGTTAATCTTTTTAAATTTACCCTTTATCTAGACAGGTTACAAATTTAATAAAATGAGGTGAAATAAGACAACCGTATGTATATCAAGAGGACTTTGAACAGATTTGGACTTATTCACAAAGGTTATGTTGCAAAAACTTGACCAAATCAAAGACAAGGAATGTAAAAACCATCATGCTTAAACAATGACTACCCTTGGTTGAGATTGCATAGAGGTGATAGATTCTGTCTACATTACACAGTGGTGACAGATTCTGTCTATATTACACCAGAGGTGACAGATTCTGTCTACATTACACAGAGGTGACAGATTCTGTCTACATTATACAGAGGTGACAGACTGTCTACATTATACAGAGGTGATAGATTCTGTCTACATTACACAGAGGTGACAGATTCTGTCTACATTATACAGAGGTGACAGATTCTGTCTACATTAAACTGAGAGTGATAGATTCTGTCTACATTACATACAGACGATATATTCTGTCTACATTACACAGAGAGTGATAGATTCTGTCTACATTACACAGAGGTGACAGATTCTGTCTACATTACACAGAGATGACACTGTCTACATTACACAGAGAGTGATAGATTCTGTCTACATTACATACAGACGATATATTCTGTCTACATTACACAGAGAGTGATAGATTCTGTCTACATTACATACAGACGATATATTCTGTCTACATTACACAGAGAGTGATAGATTCTGTCTACATTACACAGAGAGTGATAGATTCTGTCTACATTACATACAGACGATATATTCTGTCTACATTACACAGAAAGTGATAGATTCTGTCTACATTACACAGAGGTGACAGATTCTGTCTACATTTTGCAGAGGTGGTAGATTATGGTGTTTTACCCATGCCAGGTTTAAGCTAGTATTCCTGTTGTGATTAAGGTTGAGATGAGTTCCTAGTCATAAAAGTTTTATGAAGTCATGTCTACAGTATATTTATAATTTATCAATGATTCAATACATTTATCATAGAGCCAGTAGGGTACAAGGCTCTGATTCTCCCACCTGTGAACATAGATGAGGGATATCTTACTTTAAATGCTTATGGGGGCATACTTAGCAAAGCTGACATTTAAAGATTCTGTCATTTAGGTAGAAATCCCCTTCCATTTTATTATTATGGTGGTTTGGGTCACAATGAAAATACACAAATAAAGGTTTTAAAGGGGTTATAAAATCATAATTGATTTTACCAGTATGCTTGAATTTATTTGATGTAAATTTGAAAACCACCATCCAGAGTATCCTTTGTTATATACATGTAAATATCTTCATTTCTTTTTTGCATTAAACTTCTAATTACTTCTTTATTTCTTCTAATTAATTCTTATATTCTATACTTCGTGGTTTTATTAAGCTATCTCCTGGACTAGAGCACCTTTGTCTTATTTATAAAAAACTTTTAAGACATCAAAAGGCATTTTACTAGTGCTCTTGCAGACAATGACTGATTACATTCATGTAGTTCGGCATTTATTGTTGATGTGACTGCTGTACATGTTATCCAGTGAATCCCTTTTAACTGAATATTGGTGTTACTTAAACATGAAGCCCAGACAAAAATACTCATTGGATATCAAACACAAGCCAGATATTTTAGTGGTAGTCTGACACTGACAGTTAAGGTCAGTGATGTCAGAAGTTTGATGGGCATTCATAATATAAGATATTTATTGGTGATACACCAAACCATATGTTTATGTGTGGTGTGGTTTGGTGACTTTTTTTTGGTTTGGGATTGGTATTATGTTCTTGTATTTAGTTTTATTTAACATATTTTAGAAATGTAGATATAAAGTCTTTATTTTACAATGATTGTCCTCTCACGGGAAAGAAATATATCAAAAATATATATAATGATATGTAAATTACATCTTATTCTTCAAAATACATTACAAGTAGTGTACTACTGCAATCTCATTAAGAGTGTCATCACTGTTTTTCAATTTTACCACATAACTATTATTTGGATGTTTTCTCTCTGTTTCCTACAATCATAAACAAATTCTTTCTGAAGCTTTGCTAGTGTTATGGGATGAAGAAAGGAACAGGGAGTTCCGATTTTTCTCTACTGTATTGAGTATAGGGCAAAAAAAGCCACGTTGATCATTCTATTGAGTTTGTAAGACTTCTTTAAGTATTTTAGTGATTTGGAAGAAAATTATTTAACTTTCAAATAAAAATTTGTATCTATAGTCCATATATCATAATACTAAAACAGATTTCTCTCCCTTAATTGGTGATAATAGTAGAATAGGCTTATTTCTCTTTCCATGTGATTGATACTATTTACCATTTCCTTTTAGTTTTTTAATTTAATTTTTTGTCCAGAAATCTTTGAGATGTCTGTTACAGACTTTTGTTTGCATCAATGGTAGATTTATCTCCCCTTACTTCTAAGTATGGATGTCAGGTTAAAGATATCTGTGTGAACATCCTTTCTCCAACTTGTTATATTCCTCTGTGGTTACCAACATTCCTAATTCAGGAAAAAGTTGAAAACAAACATCCCTTATGAAAGTACCCCTGGAAAAAGAACTACATTTGATTATCAACACCATCATACTTGGACACATTGTCTGTATATACATTTTGGTTGGACTTTGAATTTGGATTCATTTTACTGCTACACAGTCCCACAGTCATTAATGTTCACTAACAGGCATGCCAATTGTAACCCATATTATTTCACCTTACTGGCTGCATCAAGAGTTCAGTTATACATCACAGATAACTACAAGTCCCATTGTCATCAAACCTAATATACATCTTCTTCATACCGTCACGTCACAGATCCCTGTGACCTTGTTATCCACCTTGCTGATTTGGTTAGACATTGTGTTTAGCTAGTTCACAGTAGGATCAGGATGTTTGGGAGTTTTAAAAACATTTTCTTTGATATCAAATGCATTCCAAAAGTTCTCTGATTTGCCAGTGTAATGATGTGGCTGTGAAGTTGATATTAGTTTTGATATGTTCTCCTTTCGTGCTGTCTCAATCTATATTATTTTATTTCTCTTTCTATCAAAAGTGGTAATGGTATTATAATATAAATCATTTTTTTTGGTGCTCATTGTTTTTCTGGCAATATAACTGGTGAGGTTGTATACAGGTTAGGCCAGGAGTGATGTCCCAAGTATTCCATAGTCTGTGTTAGTCTGGCATACACATAAGTGCTTTGAGCTAGGCAATTACAATGATACGATAAAAATGTTTTTGCTGACATTATTTATAGATTTTAAGTTCATTTATTATGGGCGTGAGAATATCATATTAGGAAATATTTTAAAGCATAACAAAGCTAATATCTTGTAGGAGTATGTGACCTGCCAAAAAAAAACTTTAAACTTAAAAGTTACTAGAGAGTTTTACATTTTTACAACTGTAGTTTAAAAAACACTATTGTGAAAAAATTATGCATATTTATTACTCTCTGTTTCAAATTATTTCTCAAAAAGTACTATATTTGTTGAAGTATAATGCTCTTTGTTTGTAAATTTGATTTTTGATGATTGCTGTTTTTTCTTTCTGATGCTCTTGTTAATGCTGATAAGCTGTTGTCAGTCTATCATGATAAATCATGTCTATTTAGCTATAACCATCCCTGAAGGGTGGCTTACATTTACTGTTTAATGTTAATTTGACTATTTATGTATTTATTACAATGTAGTAGGAGCTTAGAGATTAACCTCTCAAACATTTGTTATTATAAAACAAGTTGGATTAGTTGATATGTAGGATTTCTCTTTATTGTATAAAACCTCTATCTAACACCTGTTAGAGAGAACACCTATATA